TAATGAACCCCAGCACTGAGGGTTTTGCTCCCTCTCCAAGGAGCAGTTTTCCATGCTTCTTCCCACTGCAACATGTTTTTGTGTTTGGGAAATCTGAATCTTTTTGTGATTCAACTAGTTGCTCACTGTCCTGTCCTGGAGCTGTAGCAAAGGGGTGATTCCCTGTTCCCATTGAGGACCTGACAAAGAGTTCAAGATAATGCAAAGGTGCCAGGTATGACAGGACAAAGCATGAGCTGGCAGGGCTGAGGTGAGCACAGGGCTAGCACAGCTGCCAGCATCAGGAGCAGGATGAGCCCAGAGGTGAGGTGGCAGGGTCTGGGAAGGAGGATGTGAGTCACTTGTGCTTCAGGCAGTGCTGGAGGAGAGAGCCAGGCAGGGGATGCTCCCTGGGCTGCAGGAATGGCTGGAAGGAGAGTGGCAGGTTCTTGTGGCTGGAAATGGGGAAGCAGCAGCAGGGTGCTGGTGGTGACCTGTCCTCTTTCCCTTGGCACAGTCTGGTGCTCCCCTCCTGTGTCCTGTGCCCCAGCACCAGCAGAGCTGAGCAGGCTGTTCTTGGCTGTCAGCACTGAGCACCTCGGAGCTGTGCTGGTGCTGAGCCAGTGGCTCAGTGTGTCAGCAAGGCACAAGCTGCAGGGGGCTGCTTGGCAGTGAAAGCACTAGAAAGGCTTGTTCCTACTGAAATCAAACCCTTCCTTATAATAAATAAAAGGTCAGAGTGTGCATCACAGATTTCATGACGTCACAGCATGTGGTTTGGCGGCAGGGTAGGCTAAGCCAGCACTGTGTGTTTGCTGGGGCAGTGGAATCACAAATGCAGTTCACTGCTGCAGTGAGTTGTTGGGTCTCTGAACTGCCATGTAGTGCTGCAAGGCACCCTCTGGCTCTGTGCTGGCCTGAGAGCAGCCACAGCTGGGAATGATGCAGGGATAAGGAGCAGAGAGCTCATGAGCAAACTCTGTGAGCTCTGCAAACACAGTGACAGGGTTGGGTCACCACAGCTCAGCCCCAGCTTTTAGGGGGAAACTGCACATGAATTTTTCTTTTTATAGAGATTACAAACACATTGGGACTTCTTCCACAGGAGAACACCAATGCTCAGCATCCCCATCCTCGAAGTGTCCAAGGCCAGGTTGGATGGGGCTTGGAGAAATCTGGGTTAGTGGAAGGTGTCCCTGCCCTTGGCAGGGGGGTTGGAATGAGATGAGCTTTGTCCTTTCCAACCCAAAACATTTGATGATCTCCCTGGTGATTGCCCAGCTCCTCCCTAAACGTGATAAGGAAAACTCTCTTTAGTTAGCAAATGAACAAAGTAATCCACAATCCAGCCAGCCATGCTAGATCTCCCATCCATACATCCCATCTTAACTAATTATTAAATCATATTTGCTGATAAGTATGAGATGTAATATCTATTACACAGCTGTTAAACCTCAATTAATATGTTTTAATGATCAGTCGTTTACTGTGCAATATACAATTAACATCCGGTATTAGATCTTAAATTAAATGCGTGTTTGGGAAGCTAAATTTGCAGCCCTGAACACAGCCCTGCTGCAGTAAACAGAGATAATTGCCTGGAATAGGCAGCATTCCTGTGCCCTGAGAGGGGGCTAAACCAACCCTCCTGGCATTGGAGATGAATGGAGGAGAATTGCTGGAGAAGCTGGGTTCTACTTGTTCAGCGTATTCTGATTCCTACAGAGGTTTTAATTCCTTTCCTTTGGAAAAAAGCACCCTGATGCAGAGCTGCTGTTCCTGCAAGTGGGAAGGCTGAGGTGCGTGGGGTGCTGGTTCAGAGGGGTTTTTACTTGGTAAATGCTGGGCAGGAGCGTGGGGCAATGAATTGTGCTGAGTCCTGGGGCTGTGTGAGGGTGTTCAGTGCTGCAGTTTGGAGCTGAGACTGAGGCCTTAAATCAAAGATGAGGCTCATGTTACCTGCCAGCAGGAAAGCTCTCATTGCACCAGGGGCTTGGGGCTGTGCAGGGCAGTGAATTCACTTGGTGCTCTCCAGAGCTGTATGTGTGGGCAACAAACTGCAAAATCACAGAAACACAGAATGGGCTGGGTTGGGACCTTTAAGATCATCTTGTTCCAGCTCTCTGCAGTCAGGGACACCTTCCATGATTGCAGATTGCTCCAAGCCCTGTCCAACCAATGTCCAGGGATCCAGGGGCAGCCACAGCTCCTCTGGGCAGCCTGTGCCAGGGCCTCCCCACCCTCTGAATAAAGAACATCGTCCTAACCTAAATCTCTGGTTTAGTTTTAAGCTGTTGCTCCTTATCCCATCACTATTTAGCCATGTAAAAAATTGCTCTTCCTGTTTTCTATAAAATGCAGGGGTGTCAGGCAGAGCCAGCAGTGCAGAGGGGTGCAGCAGCCCAGGAGTACCTTAGGATGAAAAATTTGGTTTTGAGATTTTTAAAAAAAAATAATATAAAAGTTGGGGCCACAAAATGCTTCCTCTGATCCCAGACACTGCTGCAGTGTCTGCTCTGAGAAGAGGGCTCACATTGTCTGGGGGGATGCTGAAGGATCAGCCTGCTCTCAGCATGCTGCTGCCTCCTTAACTCAGGATTCACCTTTCCCGTGAAAAATGTGCCTGAGCAAAAATGAAGAAAAATTTTCCTCCCTTCCTTTTTCTTTTCTTACTCTTGGAGGAACAAATGAAGATTGATATGTTTTTCCTCTAGTCTTTCAGTTTGAATATGCAGTGATGCATCTTACAAGGAAAGGAAGCCTTCACCCCCCCATATTTTCTCTACCTTCCTCTCACCCCATCACTTTGTATAGCAGGTGTCACCTCTGCAGAGGTTTGGGGATGGGGTGGGGCTGCAGCTGGGGCTCCCCTGGCTCTGTGAGACCATGTGTGAGAGCTGCCTGCCACCAGGCACCCCCCTCCTCGTTTTCTATTCATCCTCACCCCAAAGCTTCCTATGAGGTTTGTTGTGTTTATTTTTGGGGGGACTTTTCTGTGATTCTTTAGAGGGTGATTTTTTTTTTTCCTGCCAAATTAATGGTTTCTTCTCTCTTTGGAAATGTGAAGTAAAACACACAGGAGTCTGAGTAACACTCCAAATTGCTGTGGTCTCCCTCCCAAGGTTCCACATCATCTTGATTGGGGTTGCATGATGGTGACTCAAGCATTTCAAGAAACTTGTTCTTTTGTACCAGGATTCCACACAACTTGCAATGCTTTGGTTCACAGCTGTAGATAGCCCAGAGGGGGACAGATAGAGTCAAGGTTTGGGGAGAGCCTCATTTGGCAGAAGATGGTGGTGGCTTGTCATGAATGTTGATGGGGAAAAGCAGCCTAAGACTCCAGTGTGTGCTCCAGTCCTGCCTGGGTGGATGGCACTGAGGAGGGAGGTGGTAGGGAAAAGCTGCTGGTTTCCTTTGGGATTGATCCACCAGACCAGCTGAGCATCTCAGTAATTTTCCAAGGGGGTGTGGATGCAAGTGCTGCAGGCTCTGAGCTATCACTGTCCAACCTCAGTGCCAGGAGGGGACCCCAGATTATGCTGTTCCCTCTGGGATCTACCTTCCATGGGCTGAAAAACATATTTAAAGCATTATCCCACAGCTGCTCGTGGGTGGCCCAGGCAGGGGTTAACAGACATGTCCTTCACACAAGCAGAGAGCTTCGTTTCTGCTGAAGCCAGGATCCAGAGGGAGGTGGAAAGGGCAGAGCCAGCAGTGCAAGCTGATCCTCCCTGGAGACCAGATGCATTTAAGCAGCATGGAATAGAGGAAATCTGATTCCAGTGTTGACAGAGCTGCCTTGGCCATTCCAACTGGGCTGGGCAGAGGGACTGGAGCAGGCTGGAAGGCTCTGAGCTGCTGTGGCCAACACACCCTCAGCCAGGCCAAGGCTCCTTGCCCCAATACTCAGTCCTTTCTCACCTCTTGCTTAAAGGGATGAAGTCATGGGACATCAGGATGGGGCCTTTGGCAAGGATAAGATGGCACTTTGAGCCAGATTTAGCCACAGCAGCTTCCAGGATTCACCCTTTACTTGGGCTCACATTAGAAAACAGGCCCAGAGAGGATGAATCTGCACGTGCTGCTAATTTTTCCTCCTTGTGGTTGGGTCTCATGACATCTCATCCTTTCAAAAATCTTCTAAGCTATCTTTCAGGTTATCCAGGATCCATTGTTTGTACAGTTTAACCCTCTCTTTGCTCCTGCCCTTACTGCATCCCATAGAGGATGCTGCTGTTTTAAAATGTGCAGATGGATGAAGGATGCTGAGGGAAATGCTTTAGATAAGCAGGCAGGCAGTGCTGACCTATGAATGTGCTATTGAAACATCTTTATTTCTTCTTATTTGATATTTCCCCCCTCTGTTCTCCTTTCTTCTGTCCATTTCTAGCTTCTTTCCCTCATTTTCTTTAGTTTTCATCATCTGCTTCGCCATCTGTGCCTCCCCACTCCCTTTCCTCAGAGCTTCTCCAAAGCAGAATAATATTTCAGCAACTCTTGGATTTTTTCTGCAAGCCTTGAGCCTTTTCTGAAGGTCCAGGCCAGGGAAAGTGCTTTAAACATGGTTTGGAGTCTCTAACACAAATGATTCGCCTGTGACACCTAGAAAAGTCCCCCCAGCTGCCCTCTTGGTTTCAGAAAATACATAAAGGGGACTTTGACAGCCACCTATCTTAAGAACCATCTTGGATGTACATCACCCTAAGATTGAATTATCCCAGTGTTTCAATGTTAATTTTCAACTGCTAACACTGTGTTTTCCAACTGAGGACCGAGCTGAGCAGAGTTGCAGTGTTTGGGGTAGGCTGAGGGTGGAAATTCTTTATGGTTTGGGCTCTTGGCCTTGGCCCAGCACCTGGGGTCCTGCTCAGGGCATGGAGACCCTCAGGGATCTGTATGGCCATTAAAGAAGCCAGGCAGGGAATAAACACTGCATTTCTATCTGGTGGGTGCTGCTGAGGAGGGCTGGGCTGACTCTGGGTCCTGACCCTGTTTTCCTCTTTCCCTGCCCAGAAAATGAGTTTCGGGGTGAGCTGCTGAGCCAGAGGTGGACCTGTGGAGAGAAGATCAGCAGCTGCGAGGGAGCCGCCGGCCTGCACGGCACGCGCATCAAGGTGGGCACGCAAGCAAGGACATTTTTAGGACAATGAACCCTCCACCCCATGAGCTGGCCATGGGACAAGGGCCACATGTGCTCCAGCCCCTTCTGGGCCAGCTGCTCCTGGGGGAATGGAGCCTTTCCGGTGCCCACAAAGTGATGGGCAGCACTTGGAAATCTCTGCGTCCTCGCTCCAGCCAAACCTCCTGCACAGTGAATCCGGGCAGGGAGGGCTTCCAGCTGCCAAAGTTTGGCTTGGAGTCCCGATATTTAAATCCTTGCCTTCCTCCCCGGTGCCATCCTTCAAGGGTGGCTCAGATCTGGGTATTTAGGTCACTCCCAGCCCTGTTAAAATAGGCTCTTTCTCCAAGGCGCCGGCTGGTCGGAAGGAGCCCCTTGAACACCAGGTGAAGCTGCGGTGCCTTTGGAGGGGACAAGCGAGTCATTCATCCCCACCGGGACCCTGGACAGCTCCCGGGGCTCAACACAGCCACTCATTTACTGCTGCAGCTGTGGCTGATGAAAGAGGTACAGCCAAGGCTGTCAAACCTCCCGGCAGATTCACTGCCAGCAGATTAGGAAGCTTTAATTAAGCAGAGAACTGGGCTGTTCACTGCACAAATGGTGCTTCCTGTCCTATTTTGGCCTTTCAGTAGCCAGGCACCGTCTCCTGTGAGTGGATGGACCCACCTGGGTGATGAGGAAGCTTCCTTAGGTGACTGATGTTACCAACTCTTCCTGTATCCCTAGATAAACCAAACCCTGGGAAAATTCCAAACCAGCAAAAATCCACACTTAAAAACATCCTTCTTCCCTAACAAGCTGTCAGCTGCATGCAGGTGTCGCCAGGAAAGCTCACACCTTCTTAGAAAGCAGAGTAAGCAGTTGTTGCTATATTTAAAATGAGCTCAATTAAGGCTTTTCTATTGAACCTGCCAAATAAGCACTTAGGTTAGATTTAATAAGATTGTCGTATGTTAATAAAGTAATGATTACAAAAGGTAACATTCCCAGTACCTGGCGCTCATCTGGTGCTCTGTCTCTAACAAGCACATCACGAATATTTAACCATTTCTGCAATCCTCTGCTCTGCTTATCTGTGTTTTATCTGAGTGCCTGGCTCAGAGGTGAGAGGAGGAAATGGGGAGGGGGAGTCTGAAGGGAGCCTGGATATTGTGTGAGTGTGCAGCCCTCTTACCTCATGGGGGGAGAGGTCCTGATCACTCTCTAACCTTTGGATCTGCATTGTGTGCACATGCTTGCACTTCTCTGTGTGCTCATAAATATATATTGTATTTAAATGTAGTTTTTCATGCCAGTCACAGCTCGTAATCCACAGGATGCGCAGCGGTGAAGGACAACGGGATGTGGGGCACGTTTACTTATTTATTTTTGCCTCTAAAGAAGTCCAGGCATGGGATAAAATTTCCCATGACAGGTTTGAAATGAGATCTCTGCAGTGCTGGGGAGAGCTGATCTCTGCATGGAGCCAGCTGAGCCCAGGCGTTGCTGCCAGGGCTCGTCCTGGACCATGGTGTCTGGTGGCAAAAATGAACCTTTGCCTCCCAAATCCATTTTCCTGTGCCATTGGGATCTAGCTGGGAGGCAGCTGAGTAGCAGGCAGGTTGTTGGTGAGGACTGACTGCTGTCAGGACAGGTGGGGTGGATGGTGGTGGGGCCACCAGAGCCCATCCCTGCTGTCCCCTTCGCAGAGATCTCATCAATCTCCCCACATTGTGCCACCCAAGGATAATCTCGTGGAAAAGGCAGCTGGCTTATCACAGAGCTGGAAAACAATGAGATTGAAGAACTACAATTATTTCCCCCCCCCTCTTCCCTACCCCTCCTCTTCTGGCACGGGAGCCATCGGCACGCACGGAGCCACTCGGGTCCTGCCGGCATTGGGATTGCGCGCTGTGGCGCTTCCCAGGAGGGGAGAGGAAGGTGTGTGTCAACTCCAACCACGGCCCCTGCAATCAGCCAGCCTAATGCTGGGCTGTCAGAGCTGTGGAGGCAGCGGTGCAGCTGCGCCTGTGTCAGATGTGATGCTCAGGAGCAGCTTTTCTGCTCTGCTTCCCCCAAGTGTGGAGGATGCTGCTGCCACCGCGGCAGCGCTCGGGAAGCGCTTCACTCGCAGCGCTGGGTGATTCTAGGGGGGGGGCTGGACCCTTTCTGCAAATGCAAAGCGACAGCACGGCTTCAGGAGGATGTTTGTGACACAGCTGGAGTGTCAGATTCGAGGTGGGTACAAGCTGTGGGTTTGCATCTCGACATGTCAAGGCAAAATCCTCCCCCCTCCCCGACTCGGAGCCGGGAACACCGTGCAGGGTGTCCTTTCCTGGAAGCAGTCAGAGCAAAAGGCAGATGGGAGCTTATTCAGCTGAGAACAGGACTCACAATAGGTGGAACGTCAGGAGGATTTAAATCAAGCAGCTAGGAAGACCCTAAAGGAAGGAGAGGGAAAAAAATCCCTCTAATCTCAGAGTGTGGTTATAAAATAGCAGCTGAGAGCTACTATTGAGCCTTTTTTAAAAAGTAGAGGCACACTGCTGATCAAGAGTATTTCTTCCTCCATCACCCCTTATTTATTTATTTTAAAAATTCCTGGCTAGAGAAGGCCCAGCAGGACAAAATCCTCCTCGTTTTCTGCAATGAACAAAGATGCCATGGCACTTTATGGAGAGGAAAGGGGAGAAATTTGGAGACCCAGATCCAGGTCTCTCCACCTGTGTTCAGCCTGCAACAGCCAAGGAGGAATTCCTCATAAGAAACAAAAGGGAGGAGAAATCAGGATAGGCCATTCAAACCCATCCTCACTGAGAGGCAGTTTTGCTGCCTTTTCCCTTAAGGAGCTAAAGCAGGGACTCTTTGGATCTTCAAGAGGGGAAGGACCAAGCAGAAAACCCCTTTTCAACAATTCTGTAGGAAAAAAAATGTCATTTCTTCTGGCATTTTCCTTCTGCTGCTAGGCAAACATAAGTTGGGGGATTTTTAAAAACTAAAAATAGAGGCACTGTGTGTCTGTCTGTCCCTCTAAAGCTCAGATGCTGCTTCCTGCAATTGGCATTTTGCTACATCTACAAATGAGCACCAATGGAAGCTCTGCTGCTTTCAGTGTAAAATAAATATTCCTGCTGAATCCTCACCTCCCTTTGTCCAGCTGAAGGGTTTTTCAGCATGTTTATTTTCTCTGAGCTCCGTGGTGCTCTTGAATACATATAAAGTATTACTGCTGACCGGGGGGAATTTCAGCAGGGCCTTTAATGGCAGATTTGCATAGAGCTGTCGAAGCCCAGGCACACCTGGGCATCAGCACGTGCTGGGCTCCCAGTGGGTTTGTGTTCTGTTATGTTCCTCGGGCTTCCAATGCAAAGGAAATGTGTATTAAGACAAGAAGGGAAAAGAAAATGTCAACCCTGTAGGTACTCCAGAAAATGAAACTTCAGATCCGTGCTGTATTGCTGTCTTGGCAGCAGAACAAGACCTGGGCTGTAGAATCTGGCTGTTAAAATTTACACTGTGCTCAGGTTAAACTCTTTTTCAAGTTTATCTGTCTGAACATCGTTGATTTAAGTCTGCAGTATTGACAAATTATCATTAAAACTTGTATTCTGTTCATGTCAGGGAGCTTCTTAGTGAGGGTAAACAGGATAGGGGACATTTCTTACTTCTAGAGAGAAAAGAGGGGGAAAAGGGGAACATAGAGAGGCAGTCACATTCCCAAGGTTACCCTGACTACCACTGATCTCAATCCTGAAGGGAGTACCCTGAGACCCAGCACAGGGTCCTCTCCTGTAGTGTTGGGTTAGGAAACTTGCTAGATGCTGATATTGATTTAATCTTAGAGATAACCCATGCATAAGGTGAGGAGGTGTGGAATAAACCTCTGTCTTTTCCAGCCAGACTAATGTGCTTGTGACTGGCATCTGGCAGCAATAATTTATTTGCAGGTTTCCTTTTGGGCTGCTTTGTTTTCATTCAGAGTTAAAGCAATAAGACTGAAATCCAGACAGCTCCTCAGCCTGGCTGTTATGTGAACAAGAGAGAGAGCTAATGAAAATAGCCTGTCGGTCTCCAGGACTGCAAACATGCACTGTGTGACCTGAAATTTCACATTAAAACGATCTGTCTAGAGGGCTTCTGGCTGAGAAGGCAACAATAAAGGACAATGGTTTCATGTAACCTTCCTGCATCTGAGCCTGATATCACAGAGGCTCCAGAAGCACAGGCAGGGCTCTGCCAGTTGTTTAGGTTGCCTGGGAGGAGCAGGGGCTGAGCTCTATAATGGATCTTATTCCTGGTGTTTCTGCACTTTGGAGGGAAATGAGGATTTTGGAGGATGATCCTGATGTTGGTTTAAGCTGAAAAAAGGACCTTGATGGTAGAAAAGAGAATCTGGGAGCACAGAGCACACCCCATCCCAACAGTGATATAAATACTATAAAAACACAGCAGTGGGGCTGTGTCAGGGTCTCTAAACAAGCAATGGGGTGTTCCCTATAGGGAAAATGCCCAATAATTTAGAAATTTGGAGTTGGGTTGCTTTGGGTTGTTGGTGGTGTTTTTGGAGTTTTTTGGGGGTTTTTTTGGTTTGTTTTTTTTTTTTTTTTTTTTGTAGAATAGGCCAAACAAGGCAGCCTATTTGGCTTTTCCATTCTTTGGTCCTTAGCAAGGTTGGGTCACCAGATGTCCCTTCCAGCCCTGAGAATTCTGTGACCCTGTGGGTCTGTACCTGCCTTAGGTGGCTCCTGTCCCCTTTGCCCATGTGGTGACTGAATCTGCTCCTGCCTTCCCAGGGTGTTTGATCCTGGCTTGCAAGAGGAATGGGAGGCAATGGGAGGAATTGCTCTGAGGTGCCGTGGTGTAGTGAGGAGCCTGCATGCCAGCTCACATGATATTCAACTCCCAAAGACAAATGTGACCTGAAATGGGATCTCCCCTATTTATAGATAAGCAGCTTGAGCCCGTCCCACCTGTCTGGCTAAGAAAAATGAAATTTTGCTTTGCTTTTCCATGCTGTCTGTGGGTCCTGGCCCCTCACAGGCTCTGCCCATTGCCCTTCCCACAGCCTGACCTCCTCTGCCCCTTTGATCTGCAGGAAAGCCATATTGCCCTAACACACACCAATTCCCTGTAAGAATAGTCCAAAAAAGGAATAAAAGAGAGAGAAAAAAGAGAGAAAAAGCCCTCCCTGGCATTGCTGGTGGTGGAGGCTCCCAGCAGTGCAAGGTGCCGCTGTGTGTGGCAGCATTAGGGAGAGAGCTCAGTGTGCCGTTGTTGGAAGGCTCATAAATGTAATGAAGTCCCTGTGACACCTGCTCCTCTCCACTCTTTAAACCAGAGCCATTGGTCCACAGGGAACTGGGGCTTTAAAAATACAAATTATAGTAATTGTCTGCTGTGTTATTGGGAAGATTGTAATAAACGTGCAGCACAACACTGCCGTGCCATGAGCTGAATGCTGACAGGGTGCATAAATCGCTCCAGGTTTTGATTCCCCTCACCCCCCCTTCTTTTTTTTTTCTTCTTTCCTCTCCAACCCCCCCATCTAACAAATCATAGCATGTTCACATTGAATTTCTGGAAGGTGGCAGTGTGAAGGAGAGAGGTGCCTGGGGGAAACTTCATCCCTCCTCTGAGGGGTTTTTAGCTGTGATGCCCCAAGGCCTGGAGACCTTGGTCCCTTCTCCCTGCCTGCCCCAACAGCCTCCTTCCCTCTTTGCTGCTCCCAAACCACAGGGAAAGCACCAAGCAGTGTCTCCTTTGAGGGTGAGGAGCCCCTGGGAGCTGTGAGCAGCATTCACCAAGGTGTTTTTAGGGTGCATGTGGGGATTCAGCAGCACACACCCTACCTGCACCATCCCCACTGCCAGTGGAGCAGCAGATGCTCTGTGTGCATGTCCCTTCCTGCCCCTGGACCAGAGAGAGCAGAGGTGGTGTCCCTGCTCTGTCAGGGGTGCTGGAGCCGTAGAAACTCCTCATTTAGGAATAATACAGGAGCTGGCTTGTTCCTTCTCTAACTGGGCCTGTAGAGGATATTCCAAAGAGAGTTGGTTTTTATTATGTCAAATCCCACTTGCAAATGGCTCTTTCACCTCCTTTTCTCTCTCCTTGTAATCTCTGGAGGTAGTGTCCCACATGGTAACGATGCAGTAAAACCCAAATTGTCTTCCCAGCCTAGCAGGCTCTGACCCCCTGCCCTGCTCCCACCCCAACCTTGCCATTCCCCCTTGGCATTCACTGCCAAACACTCCTCTCTGCAGAGAGAGCATCTGGGTCAAGGGTGAGACACAAAACAGCTCTTTGACCGCTTCAGCAGCTCCTCTGACAGCATTAATGAAATCCCATTTAAATCATTCCAGCCATGCCATGGAGGTCCCTGCTTTCCTGCTCCCACCTCCAGGCACTGCCTGGTTTCAAAGGTGCTGCACCCCAGAGGTGGCTGCACTTCAGACTTGTGCTACCTTGTGGCATGTGGTGATGTTTAATTAATATCCAGAACTTTGAAGTCCCCGATGTTACTTATTCATGCCCGTGTTCCCTGCAGACCTCGTGTTTGATGTCCATGTTGTGAGTTATTTAGATGCAGTCATCTTTGTGGCAATTTTAAGCAGAGAGGAGAGGTTGTTCTTTAGGGCACTTGTGAAAAATTGCCCTTTTTCAGGCAGGAGATCAGCTCAGACACATATTCAGAGATTTCTGATTCTGTGTTGGCATTCCAGCCAGGTGCTCACAGCAGTTCTGTGCTGTAAATCCAGAGAAATCAGCTCTGCCTTTAACAAGGGCTATCTCATGCACAGCCAGCACATCTGGGTGTTTGTTCCTCTGTGCTACACAACAGACAAAGTCCTTCCTGTGTCCCAGGATGTAGAAATTAATTTAAGATTGCTAAATCTGGGCACTGTGGGTTGAACAACATCATCAAGGTAAGAAGCTTCCATCTCAAAAACACGGGAAAGCTTTCCCAGCCACCCACAAAGCCACAATCACATACGAGCTTGTCCTTTAATGCTGATTTTCTGGTTATCTTTCAGTAATGATATTTTTCTCTCTGTTGCAGATGAGTTTAGAAAATGATGATAAGAGAGCACGCACGCGATCCAAGTCTGTCCGAGGTGAGTGGGAGCCCTGGGCTGTGCAGAGCTCAGCTCCCTGAACTTCCCTTGCTCCAAACAGGCTTTGGTTCTTCAAATCCAGGCTTAACTCTTTAAGTTATGCTCACTACCCCTGCTCTAACCCCACTGAATTTTGCCTAAAAAAAACCTGCAAATGTCCCGACCACAAAACTTTATAGGCCCTGATGATATTTAACCCTCATCCCCTGCACTCAGCTGAAGGAAAATAACAAGCAAATAAGGGAAAAAGCCTCCATGCCTGCTTTGCTGTAGGGGATGGCAATCACTGGAGCTTCAGATCAGCTCCCAGGGCTTTCATCAGGCTCATTCTGCCAGCGGCTTTGAAGTCACACATCTGAGAGTGCCTGGCAGAAGTAGCTCATGCTGCAGAAGCAAATGGGCCATGCCCCGGCAGGGATGGGAGGACAAACAACTGGTTAATTGAGATTGATTGGGATTTATTTCTGGATTAAAAAAAAAAAAAAGAACTGAAATTCTGTGCATGTTTTCTCTCTGGGAGAAGAAAAGAGGCTCTGGCAGAGGCCAGGTTGTCACCTCAGGTAGTCCCATAGCCATGGGTGATGGTTGTGATGGTTACAGACCAGCCTCTCTATTTTTTGGTTCATTTTTGTGGCTGTAGATGTGACGAGTGACAAAGGTGGCTGGAAGTGAGGAACCAACAAGGTTGGAAAGGTGTGATGGCTGCAGGGACTGCAGCTTCATCCTACAGCTGGGCTGGGCCACCTTCCTTTTGTCCTCACCTTCCTTCCTCCTTGCTCTTTACAGCATCTGCACCTTTTAAAAACAAAACCAAACCCAGATGTTGCCAGCTGCGTTGAGCTGAGCTTGAATATCTGGATTTCATTGCTTTGTTGCACATACACAAAGGTGCTCGTTCAGGTTGCAAATGAGACTGCCCTGATTCTATTTATTTTCTCACACCCTGCCTTTTCCACACTTGAATCTGGGTTTCTCGATGTGAAAAGGTAATTTATTGCCTGCACCCTGGGACTCGTCACTGCCTCCAGTTTGTTGAAGCTTGTGAGTCATCCCACTGGGAGCTGGATCCCAGGAAACCCAATTAGCTCAAACAAATTGAGCAAACGTGTTATGGTTTTTAGCCTGGGCAAATTTAGACTTGTGCTGAGGGATTTTTTTTTTTTTTCCTCTTGATTATTTGGATTCCTGGCTGGATGTAAGGTTTCAGCTGCGATGTGAAGTTGCTGTGTGTTCTTGTTATGAGCAGTGAGAAGCTCTCTTATTGACAAGTGGGGAATAATCCCTAAAAATCCTACAAATTCTTGTTTACCCTATACCCCAAGTAGCAAATCCCCACCATATGTCTGAGCATTGGCAGGGACTCCTGCCTCAGTCTGATGGGACAGGGAGAGGAGAAAGATACTGGTGAATGTGGCCATTGCAGGAAAACAGTTGTGAAGTGTGAAAGAAGAAATTGATGAGCAGCTTTAAGGGGCAAAAAAGAGAGATGAAGGCATTAGAAAACTCAGTCTTTATTTAGAAGTGTTTGAGTTACATGCATGCATGTTAGAACAGTTCCATTGACTTCAAAGTCATCACGGATTCAAAGAACAGAGGCAATCCCTGATGCTGCCAGTGTGCACTCACCTGCCTGAAAATCAGCAGAGGCGTGAGGATTTACAAGGCAGGGTTATAATTTGCTACAGGCTGGCATGCAACAAAGGACAACAGGACACATTGGCCCTTTCTTTCCCAAGTGGGATGTCCAGGGATGAAACAGGAACCCAGCTGCTGCTGGCAGGAGAGCTTCAGTCTCGGGGGGTCGGGCACCTCTGGTTTGTTTCTGACCTTGTGTTTGTTTCCATTGCTGCATCCTGCCCCTTGCCCAGTGCCCACGGAGCTCATCGGCCAGGAGGTGAGGTAAGGACCCTGCTCCTCCTTGGCCATGGGAGGGATGGAGGGGGGCACATGGTGGGACTGGCTTGAGAGAAGCCCCTCAGCTGGGAAACCTGGGTGAGGGCAGAAAACCCATGGGATTAATGGGCTCTTCTATTGGTGGTTGTGTCCAAGTCCTCAGGGAAAACACATCAGGGGAATCACAAGAGTTAAAGAAATAAACTGCACCTCTGGATGAATGTCATCAGACTGGAGACCCTCCAGCCATCCTCTGTCCCACCCCAGATTTAAATCCCAGTCAAACCTAATGCCCACAGTTTGTGTTTCAGGATCACTGGGGACACCATCCTGCTAACCAGAGGGGTTTTTTTCCACATATTTGTCACATCACTTCTGGTGCTGGATGCTCCTCCAGCCCCCCTGTCCTTTGCTCGGTCACTGAGCTCCTGTTGTCACTCATTTAGCAGTGCTGGGATGCCAACAGCAGCAGCCAAAAGAGCAGGAGCAGAGCCTGTGCAGCCTCCCGAGCTTCTCATTAGATCTAACAGCCTCCCCCACCTGCAAGCTCCCCCCAAACCTTGCACAGGGGCTTTGCCAGAGGTAGGAGCCTTTAACCCGGACAGGGGCTGCCTCTCCTTGCAGCCTCTCGAGCGTGTCAAAGAGTAATTGCACCTAAACCGACCCAATTTCAGAGCATTTTGCTCCTCCACTCTCGGATTACACTGGAGAGCCGGGAGGAGCCAGCACTGGGCATGCCCCTTCTCCAACTTTTATTGCTGAACACTTGAGTGGAGGTGGTAATTGGAGCAGGTGACATATCTAAGGGGCAGGACAGAGTGCTCCACAAAGCCATCTCTGCAGCTGTCACCTAATTGCCTGAATAACTGGACGATTAATCGACTAATTGGAAGCAGGGCATCGTCTGCATAACAATAAGAAGCCCTTTTGTCAAGCAGATGAAGGCAGCGGAGAGGGGGGAGCGGTTCGGTGTGGTGGCTCTTGAGGGATGGAGAGCAGCTTTAATAGACCTCGAATCCCGTTTCCCCTTTCGGGACTCGTGCCAAAATACACGAAAACTCCCTAAAGGAGAGTGGGGAGGGAAAGCCTTGCCCAGAGCATGTAGAGCATCACCTTTGTGCTGGTGCTTTTTAAAGGCATTAAATCAACAAAGTGAAGCCAGAAACATCCCAAATCGACACCTGCTTCAGCAAACCTCGGTGCTGAACCACTCGTGTCTTTCCTACGTACTTTTTATTGCAGGCTTCATTAGACCACATTAAAAATGGGGTGATGGGTAATCTGCTTTAATTGATACAGGAAAACTTATAAAAGCCTATAACATCTTCATCAGAGCTGCTCCTGTTTGCCATTGAATAAGGCCTTTTTTAGGCAAGTCACTGGTGACATAAGCACTGCTCTGTCTTTTGGTGTGCAGTCACTGCAAGTGTGGCTGGGGCTGCTTGGGACAGAGCAGCCTCAGTCAGGCCTGAGGACAATTAAAATTAAATAGACTTTTAGATCATAAGCAGCAAGGAGGGAAGCTCCCTCTCCCATTTGCACATGTCAGGGGCATGAGATCTGGGCCTCTATGACCTCCAGTGTCCTGCTGGAGAAGGGACACTGTGCTGCCAGGCCAGACCCCAGCTGTGGCGGGGCTGGGACTGTGTGTGGATGCCAGAAGAGCTGGGAGCCATCCCACAGGAGATGGCACTGGAGGATGTGCAGCAGCACGGGTTCAAGCCAGGTCACAAGCAAAGGGGACAGCAGGAAGGGGGGATTTATCTGGGGGAGCCGTGAGGGGCAGCTTCCACATCCCCAGAGCACTGTGTCCCCTTAGGGGATGTGGTGCCACTGATTGCCCTCTCAGCATTTGCTTTGCTAACCTAAAGCCAGTCAGTCTCCCTGAAGGAAGGATTCCTACTCTCCTGACAGCTCAGTAGCACTGTCCTGCCCCGGTTTTGGGTTGAATTGTGGTTTTTGAACAAAAAGATCTGTCTTGTATTCTAGGGAGTTGAACCATTAATAACCTGCCAGTGCTCCCAGAGCTGCTGCACCCATTAGTGCAGCCAGACCCTCTGTGTCCTCAGCTTCCTGCAAGGGCTGAGCTCTGCTGAGAGCAAAACTCTGAGTCCCTAAAGCCTGACTTGGCACTTGGTACTATTTAACGTTGTCCCATGTCTTTTACTCTGAGAATAACAGGCTGGCCAGATCCCCTCTGGGCTGGTGATGCCTTCTCCCTTTGCACTGTCATCAAGAGATTTCATTAGTGCTTCCAGCTTCCCAGGCTGAGGGTGATACAGTGCTAAATGAGGTTATTAATCCTACACGACTCCAGAATTCCTCAGACATCAGGCAAGTCACTTGGGCATCCTATAATCAATGCCATAATCTGGTTTTGCCAGAAAATGTTTGCTTTAATGCTCCTTATCTGGAGCCCTTACAGCTCCTGAAGCTGGGACTAATTACCCCTGCAGGGGAGGCTTGTGGTCCCGTGTGAGGGATGCTCAAGTGAAGGCAGCAGTGGCTGTGAGCGGGCTCAGAGCTCCCTGCAAGCCTTTAACTCATCCTCTTCTGCAGAGCAGCAAGAAAAAATTGCAGGGATTTGGGAGATCTCATCACCTAAATCCCATCCATTCCCCCAAAAGTGAGGTTTTGAGGATTTTAGTCCTGGGGATCTCCATCCAACATGTCTGGCTAAAACCTCCTTGATAAAGTCCCAGTCTGCTCTTCCCCAAAGCACACACATTTCTTACTGTAAGTGGCCCCAGTTCCCTGACAAGCCACCAGATAAGGGAAAATCCCATGTTTTCCTCCTGAGAAAAAGCAAACTGGAGAGTAGCAGCAGGGAGGCAGAGTGCAATAGCTGTCTGCCTTTAAAAGCTTGCTCTCACACATGCAAATCTTTAATTAAACACACTCATAAAACTATAGCAAACTGTTCATCTAATTAAATGGGGTGAGTAATTTCATTAATTTTTAGCAAGCTGCAAGGCTGCTCTCCTGCCCTCCTCCCTTGGAATTCAAAGGGACAAACGGAACCACTTGAAGGAAATTACCTTCCTGCTTGCAGTAAGCTTGTTCCTTGGGCACAGGACCTGTTTAACTGACTGTAGGTGATACAATCCTCATTAATTCTCTTGCTCTTCCTGATGGTGGTTTGTTTCCCTCCCCAGCTGTCCAACCCCAGGCTGTAATGGGTCAGGACACATCCGTGGGAAGTATGCGAGACACAGAAGGTGAGGTGGGCTTGGAGGTAGAGGGGATAGAAAAATGTGAGCAACAGAGCCAAAGACAGGTGTTCACTGAGATAGGCTGGTTCATAGCAGCAATCTAATTTGTCTGCCCCAAATCTTCTTGTTTCTGGCTCTCCATCAGTCCCCAGGGGATCCTGGGGGGATCTGCTTCTCCAGACTCATAGCAGCCTTCCTTTAGACCCCAAACTTGGCCAGAAGTGCCTGACTCAGCTGTCTGGGGGTGGTGGGAGCTGCTGATGGGCAGAGATTTTGGTCTGCTTTTATGGCTGGGGAAGGCAAATGAGAGCACATTGGCTGCCTTGGAGGTCATGCAAGCCTTAACTGAGGGTTTTCATCACTCCATGAACCATGCAATTGGAGCAGTTGGGGCTGGTTCTGCACCCTGTGCCTGGTTGCATCACCAACATTAGTCCTGGGATGCCACATCCCAGTATTCGTGTGCTGTTTCTGGAAAAAAAGTTGATGTAGTTTCACAGTCAAGGTCTAAGAGTACATGTGGCCACAGAGGTTAAACCAGCTAAAAATCTGGGGTGCTGGATGATTTTTTGGGTAGTATTTGTGTAATTGTCCCACTTATGTTTGCCTAACCAGTTGGGATGAGGTAGCCAGGCCTCTCTCACTCAGCAATGCCTCCTCTCTGCTCCTTGATCCCATCTGCAGTTTACAAAGCTGCCCTCTAGCCAAGAAGAGGAAACTTCAGGATGCTGAGGCCGAACATCTGGTGTCCAAGAGGAAATCCCACCCGCTCAAACTGGCCTTGGATGAAGGCTACAACGTCGACAGCGACGGCAGCGAGGAGGCCGAGGCCAAGGAGGAGTCTGGCTCCGATGAGTCAGAGGGGATGCTGGAGGAGGATGAGGCAGAGGCCATGGAGCAGGAGGAGACACACAGCCCCGAGGCAGCAGAAGGTGCTTCATCATTATTGAGGGCAGAGCTGTGTTCTGCAGGTGAAGAAAGGGCAGGAAGGGTTGACAGCCAGGAGTTATAGCTCCTCTGGATTATCTACAGGATGGGTGCCCCAGTTACTGGGGTGGCCCATTGTTGGGTAGAAGCACAATGGCAGTGCTTGGGTTAAGATGAGAAGGCACAGTGCCTCCAGTGTCTTAAAAATGAGAGCTTTTCCTTCAGGGATGCTCCCTAGGGAAGGACCCATGGAAAACACAGAGGAGCTTGCTGTATGATGGGGAAGACAGCCAGGGTCCCATGCAGCTGCCATGAGGGGCTCAGCAGGATCCTCCTCCCTGTACAGATCTGGCCACTATCCAAGAGCAGAGGAATGGCAGGAAAAGGACATGGATTTTCAGCTGGGGTCCTGACACTGCCTTGCTCACTGGTTTGGAGCCCTGGCCTGGGTAGCATAAGCAGCAGGGATGGCAGTGGGCAGATGGTGCATCTGAGCCCCATGTGGAAATCCTCTTTCCCCCTGCCATCCCCAAATTCAATAAATTAGGATGCTCCTGAGGTGGAGCTTCCAGGCTCTGGTTTCAATTAAGTTTAAGCAAAACAAAGTTGTATTTTATGAGTTTATATAATTACTTTCTTTGCCTCCTTTTTTATTCCCTCTTCTTTTCTCTTCCCTCTCCTTTTCTCTTTTACTCCTTTCTCTTTTTCCTCCTTTTCTCATTTCCTTGCTTTTTTCTTTTTGTTCTTTTCCATCTCTTCTTTCTTTTCCCCTTCTTCTTTCTATTCCTTCTTTCCACCCTCCAGAGAGAAGCCCAGCAAAATCAACCCACTACGGACAAAACACAGCAACAAGTACATCTGGGCCCAGCAAGGCCAACTACAGCAGCTACCAAGAAATAATCGCCAACTCTCTCCTAAACTTAGGCCAAATAGCAGAGGAAACCCTCGCCATCGAAGGGCAGCTGCCCGAAGCGGAGCTGCAGGGCTCCAAGCCAGCATCCAACGTCGTGCATTTGGTCCATGAGGATGCAGGAGAGGAGCTGGTGGAGGAGGAGTGCGACAAGGAGATCATCATCCAGACGGAGGACGCGGAGGAGGTCATCGAGGTCACCAGCGAGCGCAGCAGCGAGTTGTGTCCGGAGCCCCGAGACGACACGAACGGAGAGGAGTCCTGCAAACTGGAAAAGGCTGAAGCAGAAGAAGAGGATGAGGAGGATGATGATGAGGAGGATGACGAGGAGGAGGAAGAGGAGGAAGAGGATGATGAGGAGGAGGAGGAAGAGGAAGAAGAGGAGGAGGAAGAGGAGGAGGAGATGGCTCCTGAAGTGATCTGCGAGGAAGCTCCTCACACTTCTCAGGACCCCCAGAAAAGCCACTGTGAAGGGCAGTTCAGCCCCAAGCCCGAGTACTCGGTCATCGTGGAGGTGCGCTCAGATGATGACAAGGACGACGACGCCCGCTCCCAGAAATCAGCCGTGACGGATGAGTCGGAGATGTACGACATGATGACCAGGGGCAACCTGGGGCTGCTGGAACAAGCCATTGCCCTGAAAGCCGAGCAGGTGAAAATCGTGCGGGAGCCCAGCCGGCTGCCAGGAGAGCACGTGAAGCACTTCCAGGTGGAGGACAAACAGAACAAACCGCTGGACAGCATCCGGAAAAGCTACTACGGCAAAGGTATGGGACAAACCTTTTTCTATCTCCCTCCTTCCCATCCCTGGTGGAAGAGCTGAACTTGTCTGCTCAGCATGGACCATTAGGCTGATGTGGGGAGAGTTCACAGCCCACAGGGGGAGTTCAACCACAAATCCTCAATGCCCAAAGGGATGGGGACATCCTTGAGTTCAACAGTGAGTACATAAAATGATGGTGTCCTCTACACTGTCAAAAGGGTTCCTCCCTCTGAGTAGAGGAATCGCTTGGCTAAATTGTCAGTTAACCTTGAAAATTTCAGCCTGAGCAGAAGGCCGGCTTAAAATCCAAGTGGTTTTTAAAGTAGTGGTAGGAGTCTGACCACAGAAACATGAGGGCAGGGACTTCAGCGTCCCCTAGCTCTGAGCCAGGCTGCCTGCTCAGTCACTGTGAGTGTCTCCATGCTCTGAAGTGTGTCAGTTCCTAAAATCACTTTGCTGATTTCAATTTTTGCAACTTCCAGTGTTACACTTCCAACTCCAGGGAAAAAACCTCCAAACCCAAAGGTTTCCCCCTGCTTGACTGTAAAGGCGGTGAGAAGCATTCTCAGCACTTTCCACTTCTTCCCCTCCAAATCCACTAACCTGCTTCCCTCTGCCCTTTCCCCACAATCCTTAGATCCTTCAAGACCTGAGAAGAGAGAAATCAAATGTCCAACTCCTGGCTGTGATGGGACTGGACACGTCACGGGACTTTACCCGCACCATCGCAGCCTCTCCGGCTGCCCGCACAAAGACAGGATCCCCCCCGAGAGTGAGTACATGGTGGCATACCAAGGGCTGCTTCCATTAGTCTGGAGACTAATCTTCTTGGGGGAATTTCTCAAATGATATGAATTTTATGACATCAAGTCTGATGTTTTTCCTTGGAGTATAACAAGAGGTTTTGGCATGGGATGGTGCTTTTCCAAGTTGATCCTGGATGCTGTTATCCTCCAAAGTGTTATCGCTAATCACGGGAAACATGATGGGGATTTACTTGGAAGTCCTGTCCTTCTTAAAGGATTTTTAGCACCATCCTGTGGAGAATGAGATCCCTTCTCTGAAATTCAAAGAGGGGCTTTAAAAACGCCTGCCCACCTCCAAAGGTGTGTTAAGCAGTGCCCTCCTTTACACTGGAAGTCACATATTTTTCCCTACTTGGGACATCATGTTGGGAAAAAAGGGATATTATTCTACCTTGCCGTGCAAATATGTTACCATGCAGGAAAGAAGGGGAGTGATGAGTGATTCAGGATGTGCAGGATTGCTGAGTCTCCTGTGCCCTAATCTCTCCAGAATTCTCTAAGGGCTATACCAAGATTCACCTATTCTACAGAAAATATTTATCATCCTCATAACAGATTTTTGTATATACATATGCACAGAGAGAGAGAGATTGTATTTCCACCTCTCTACCAGCATCCTAAATAGCTTTCCCTGTATAGATACATAAAAATCAATGTTGTATGTTTATGATAATGGCATAATAGACCAAAAGAAAGAGGAACCCTTCCTTATGAGTAATTTCAAAGGTTGCAGACCTGACATAAACACAGAACTGGAAGAAACAAGGAGAAAGGACAGTTATCTTCACAGGCTGGAATGCAAGCAAAAATATTAATAAATAACTAACACAAGCTGTGGGCTTTACAAAAGCTTGCAGATCAAATTATTTTCTTTACTTTTAAGGTCAGCGCTGCAGGAAGCAATAATCCTGAAGATTAAAAATTAAAAAAAAAAATCAAACAAAGACTAGTCCTAAGGATAAAAGCAGAGCTACAACTTCAATCACTTAAAACTACCTGAAACTGGAGACCTGGTTCCAAAACTGGGGTGGGGAGGAGGGGCTGGATGGGGGAAACTGGATTGCAATCAGAAAATGGGGAGAAAGCCCAGGCTGTGTGCAGAGATGCTAACCTAGTGCTGACCTGGGCTCTGCTGCCTTGCAAATCTTGTATTTTTCCTCTGCAAATTCTAATTACAGCACTTCACATTCCCTGATTTCTAGGAAACCAGCATACAAGGCTTGATGATTTTCTCTTTTTTTTTTTTTCCTCTCTGATTTTTATTAAGTTGTTTTTCTTTCCCTTCCCTTCTCCCCTTCCCCTTCTTGCCCCCAAGTCCTGGCGATGCACGAGAACGTGTTGAAATGCCCCACGCCCGGGTGCACAGGACAGGGTCACGTCAACAGCAACCGCAACACGCACAGGAGGTACCGGCTTTGGCTTCCTCTGTCACAGCCACAGGGTGACAGGGTGGGGGAATGGCCTCAAAATGACAGAGGACAGGGTTAGATTGGAAGAAATTCTTCCCTGTGACAGTGGTGAGGCCCTGGCACAGGTTGCTACTTCCCTGGAATTGTTCAAGGCTGGGTGGGATGGGGCTTGGAGCAATCTGGGATAGTGGAAGGTGTCTCTGCCCATGGCAGGGGGGTTGGAATGAATTGAGCTTTAAGGTCCTTTCCATCCCAAACCATTCTATATCATTCCATGATTCTGTGAATTTGTCTTGTTTATTGAACTTGTTCAGTGTGGAGGAAGCAAACACTTTTCTCACAGGTCTAGTGTAGCTTTGGGTCCATGAAATGAAGGTTTTTGTGCTCATTCTTCATGCTTGGTTTCCTTCTCTGTTTTTTTTTCTCCTTAAAAAAAACCAACCCAACCAACTCCCACAGTTTATCTGGGTGCCCCATTGCTGCTGCTGAGAAATTAGCCAAATCACATGAAAAGCAACAAACCCAGTCTGGTGATCCTGCGAAGACCAGCTCCAATTCTGACCGGATACTCAGGTAAGGGGGTCAGGAAGGCTCAGCTCCATGTCCCCACCCTGCCCCAGCCCTCCCTGTCCCGCCACGCTCCCAGGAACAGCAGCCACGGCTCCAGCTGTATTTTGATACTGCTGAGTCCTGTTATTATGATCATAGGTCTCGCCAAGGTGGGGAGATATTTAATTGATGATCCCAGGGAGAGCATTGAGGACAATGAATTGCTTCTGTAGCATCAATTAATGCTGAGGCTACAGGCCAAAGGGTTTTAGCAGTGCAGCAGAAGGCACTTGTGCCGATTGCTCCGCAGCACAAACTGCCAGCCAGGGCTGGTTATTATATCAGCATTATAAGAAGGGTGGGCTTGGGGAGGGGGGAGGTGGAGGAGGAGGAGGAGGAGGAGATTTAGGCTACACACAAATCACTCCATGGCAGTTGTGCATTCAAGTCCACCTGCTTTTGTTCCTTAGCCTGCAGGTTTCAGAGGAGAGGAACTTGCCGCTCGTTTCCAAACCAGTCACATTAATTTTGATACTTTGCCCATCTCTCTCTTCCCAAGAGAAAGGGCTGTCTCCCATTAAGGATGTCCCTGATAGATGCTGGCTTCCGTGGCTGATGTGATTCACGAGGCTACAGATGGATTGGAATATGGTTGGTTATTTTGCAATGAGAGCAGGATAAAAACCGCGGTGCGAGCCCTGAGCAGCCCTCCCACAAAGGCAACGAGCTCTGATTCATTTATTTATTTGCTCCCCAGGACTGCTGGGCACCCTGGTGCTCCAGCTCTCACTACTTTGGAAAGGCCATTTAGAGCGATTACTTATTCATTTGCAGCAGGGCCCGCGCAGAGCGCTCTGAGCACATCACGAGGACGGTCCATGCTCCAAGGAGCTCCCGCTCCGAGGACTCTCTGGTGGAAAGAGGTCACGGGAAGGAGAATAACAATAGGCCATTTATATACAATTTATATGCAAGACAAATTGATTCATGATAGGCAGCCCCGTAGCAGCGGGTCTCTAGGAGGGGCTGAGGCACGGCAGAGACCCTGGTGCCTCTGCAGTGAACCTGCAGCAGGGAGCCGAGCTGAACTGGGGTCCTCATGCCTTTTTGTGCCACCCTGTGTCATGGGTCCCATGAGGGAGTTATTGCCCAAGTTTGTTCTCTTCTGGAAAATGCTGCCACATCATGACAGCCTGCAAGAACATCGTGCTGGATGAGGTTGACGACTCGATGTTTTGCTCAAAAAGATGGTAAAAAAAAAATGACGGTAGAAAAGGATAGAAAAAAGAAAACTGGAGTCTGAGAGATCCAAATCAGATGCAGCCTTGCTGAAGAGAGCAAAAGGGCTGTCACTGCCTCCTTGTCCCCAGGAAGCCTTTAGGAAGAAGGTGCAGCTGTGTCCCCATTGTGTCTGGTCCCCTCTCAACAGTCACCTTGTCAAGGAAAAAAAGAAATAATTGCTGTTTGTTGTTTCATCCTCAGGCCTATGTGCTTTGTGAAGCAACTGGAGATCCCTCAGTATGGAAGCTACAGGCCCAACATGGTCCCAGCAACCCCCCGGGCCAACTTGGCCAAGGAGCTGGAGAAGTACTCCAAGGTCACCTTCGATTATGCAAGTTTTGATGCTCAGGTTTTTGGCAAACGCATGCTTGCCCCAAAGATTCAGACTAGCGAAACCTCACCTAAAGCCTTTAAATGTAAGTTGGGAGCAGGGATGGACTCGGTTTTTGCATTTTCTGCCTTTCTCAGCATGTTGTGAGGCTCTTGGGATTGGGTTTGGGGTGATGGGAGACTCTTGGAGCTGAACTGCTGGACCCTCCTGGGATGGGGAGGGTGAGGTAGGTCCCAAGGTGGGCACCTTTGATGGTGATGGGAGTCCATGGCTGGCTGGGAAAGCTTTGTTTGGAAGAGAGTCTCTTTGGCTTTGGCTTTGGGAAGAACTGCGGTGGGAACATTAATCTGAGTGATGTCTCGAGGTAGGATAAGTTACACAGTTGTCCTCAGTTGGTCCCCATTGCTTTGCAGCTCATATCTATTGATCTGGCTTTCCTCATCTAGCTAAATGGATTACAGTTTTCTTCTCTTCCATCTTATATATGACCCACTCCCCCCATTTTTCTTCCCTGCCGTGCTCTGCTCTCCAGCTCTACCTATCGATCACCCACCTCTGTCTTCCAGCTCTTTCCTATTGTAGCCACCCACCTCTGCTCTGTTCTGAGGACTTTGCACTGGTTATAACTCTGGGTGAAAATGAAATGGCTGAATAACCCCTGAGGGGTTGGGCTGACAAAGGCAAGAGGGACACTGCATGGGGACACAGCCCTTGCAAATGTGTTGTTTGACACGAACTGTGCACCTCAAGACATTCTTTTGAGGGGCAAAAGAAAACATTTAGGACCCCATTTTGTAGAAGTCAGTGGCCTCAAGAGGGCTTTCTGTCTGGCTAATCCCACTTCCACAATCCTGTTTAATCCTGATGCAGCTGCTCTCTAAAAAGTGCTCGTACTTGAAAGCATCCCGGTTGTTGCACTACAATGGGAGCGCTCTTTATTACAGTACTAAATCTGTACAGGATCAGACAATGAAATTGGATGGAGGCCAGAGAGCACAACTGCCACTGTCATCCTGGGTTAGGGCTGATGGAAAAGTAATTTGTTTCCCAGTACAAGTGATTCTCTCGCTGAATAGATTGTGTTATTTGCAATATTAGCAAAGAATTTTCAGGGTAATTGTACTGACAAAAATAATTCCAGCAGACCCACTAGGATAATCCTTTCTATTTTTTCTCATCACTTATTTCACTAATTTGCTGATTGCAAGTCTATTAGTGCTAGAAATACTTATGAAATGGAAAAGCATCGCTGAGCCTACGGTGTGAAATTGAAATTGGCATCTCCCGATCCTGGATATTGTCAGGTTGGGTTGGCAAATACTCGCACCCCGCCTCGAAGATGTGGATTAACCCGGACAGGAAAACAAGCAGCCAGACACAAGAATAACCATGTGGGCAAGCCTCCAATGAGTTAATCAAAGCGACAGGATGAATATGATTGCCAATCATAACAGGGAAATCTGCTCCTTTCACTGAGAACTTATTTTAAAGAGATCTTCATCCAGAGGGATTTATATTACCCCGCATGTGTGTGCGTAACTCCCATTAATGTCAATATGCATTATATACACACACAACGAGGAAGAAAGCAGGGCTGGGGAAGATTAGTATTTTATAGTGTCTTATATTACGAGTTTGTAATGGGAATAATGAAATCACTTTGCTCCGTGGCTGCATCAACTGAGGTTGGCTTTGTTTTGCCATGATCAGGCCAAAGCTTGTGAGTCTTCCCTGGGTGAGCCTCTCACTAAAGTGGGGATGGTTTCCCCCAGAAAGAGCATGGTGGAATGAATTAAGAATTTGAAGATTTTGATAATTGATTCAGAATACAATCCTGTGACTTGTCTAAATCAGATGATCTCCTGCTTGCACCCACTGAAACTACTGAGGGCCCCTAAATGGGATCAGCTTCAAGTTTTATTAATAGGGAATTATCAGTTGTTATTATTAGGGAAAGTTTTATTTTGTGCCCACCACGAGAAATATTTTCATTTCACAGATCATGAAGAAAAATTGCATCTCCAGGCTGGTTTGCTGCTGCTGTGACACACAGGAGCAGAGCAGCAGCGTGGCTATGTGCAGCTGTGCAATAAATCCTGTTACTCTGGCATATTTAAATGATATGTCAGCTGTCAGAAAATCCATATTTCACCAGTGTCATCCTTGGAAGCTCATATTTTATGACCATGCATTTTCCATTAATGTGATTTTATAAAATTAAAGTTTTCAAACACAGTACTAGAAATCTCCCTGTAAGGCAGCCCTGCAGATAACTTATGGACAGAGAGAGAACAATAAAAAATGAGTCAGAAATCTTCTCTAAGCTTTCTCCTTTAACTGCTTCCACCGAGGAGCAGCTCTAATGAAGAAAAGCACTTGTGTTTTGGGTATTTATGGCAGAGTCAGTTAATGAATTAACCTTTCACAGCGAGCACAAGCTGCAGCCAGCAGTGCTCCTGTTGCACGTCCCAGGCAACAAACCAGCCCCTGGATTGGGAATAACCCCAGGAACTGTGCATACATTAACCGTGTCACACTGACTTAACCTTCCCCTGCTGCTCATGCCGCTTCTACATTAGCCTTGTGTTGTTCCTTCTCTTTTTTATTCCAGCCAAACCTTTTCCAAAGGCCTCTTCCCCCAGCCACAGCCCCTCCAGCAGTTACGTGAAGAGCACTTCATCTTCCTCCACAGGCTTCGACTACTCCCACGACGCTGAGGCTGCGCACATGGCGGCCACCGCCATCCTCAACCTCTCCACCCGCTGCTGGGAGATGCCCGAGAATCTCAGCACCAAGCAGCAAGAGGCCCCCGGCAAGGTGGGTGAATGTGGCCAGGAGCCACTGCCCAGGGGCCAAACTTGGAATTCAGGATAGGAGAGATGCCTTGGTTTACCCTTCCTTTCATTTTGTTTTTTTAAATATAGAGGCAATGCAGGCAATCATCCAAAATCACCCTTTTGGCTCCCCACTTTGGGTTTGGGGAAGGGAATCTTGGCTTTTTGAGTGATGTGCAGATGCCTTGTGGTTCAAATTTCCCATGTGAGATGAGCATCAATTCCAAGTCTTGGGCTGAGACTGGATATTAGGAAATATTTATGACTTATGATGGTCAAGCCCTGGAACTGGCTGTCCAGGGCAGTGGTGGGGTCACCATCCCTGGAGGGATTTAAAGGACATGTGAATGTGGCACTTGGGGACATGGTTTAGTGGTGGGCTTGGCAGTGCTGGGTGAATGTTTGGACTTGATGGTCTCAGAGGGTTTTTCCAACCCAAACAATTCTGTAATTCCATTATTCTCAGAGCTGGTTTTAGTCGTTCTCTGATCTGTATCTGATGCCATTTGAAGTTCCCCAGCTGTGTCCAGTCTGATCTCCAGCTATTTTGCAGAGGAACACAGGTTTTCCCAAAGTCCCACAGAGCACTCCCAACCTTGGGCAAATGTTTTGGATGCCATGAGGCATCCTAAGTGGCACTAGATGCCTGCGTTCAATCAACTGAGTCAAAACGCCAAGGCTTGGTTGGATGGGACTTGGAGCAACCTGGGATAGAGGAAGGTGTTCCTGTTCATGGCAGGGAGGTTGGAATGAGTTCAGCTTTCAGGTCCTTTCCACCCAAACCATTCTAGTTGAGGGGTGCCTTTGCATGACATGTTCCTGAAATATTTAGGAAATAGCAACCCTTTTTATTCAGTTCCTCCTACCTGACCGTGGAGAGGATGGGACATGAATACCTGCCCACTGCACTGCAAGAGACAAACAGGGGCAAGATCCCCATGGGGACCTTCTGGCAGCTGCTAACATTGGTTGTGTTTCCAACCTTTCAGTCCATGGACATTGAGGTGGACGAAAATGGGACTCTGGACTTGAGTATGAACAAGCACCGCAAGCGGGAGAGCACCTTCCCCAGCAGCAGCAGCTGCAGCAGTAGTCCCAGCATGAAGTCCCCAGATGTGTCCCAGCGCCAAAACAGCACCAGTGCCACGAGCAGCACCATGACCTCCCCCCAGTCCAGCCAGACCTCCCGCCAGGACGAATGGGATGGGCCCATTGACTACACTAAACCAAACCGCCAGCGGGAAGAGGAGCCAGAGGAGGTGAGTGGTGCCTCTTGATGCTTGAATTTCAGCTCAGGGGACATTGAATGCCTTGTTTGCCTACACAGTTGTCCTGTTTTGCCCAGAACCCCCAGTTTGTCCATTGAGACAAGGAAAGAAATGTTCCTGGCTTTGTCAGTGCTATCAGATATCAACCAGGCAGGAAGCAGCTGCTTTTGGATCTGTTGGGATGCCCTTGCAAAGGAAGAACCCACCATTTTACTTAGGTCTGCAGTGTTTTCTTCATTGTAAATCCTGTCAGCTCCCTTGCAGCAGTGCTGCTCCTGGTGATGTTTTTCAGGATGATTTATATCTGCCATTAGCAGTTACAGCCCTGCATGGCACTGACATTAATCCTGCAGGTGGGGAATCCAGCCATGACCCCCAGCTGGGGTGGGGGTTCTGGCTCTGAGAGCATCACCTGCTTCTCTGCCCACGGGAAGGCTGCTGAGGAAGAGGTGAGGGGATTGCACTGATCTTCATTCCTTCAAGACCTTGGGAATGCACGTGTAAATCTCTTTACAGACATGGTTTACACAATTCTGCTAAAGCCCCAGGAAATTACAGGTTGTTGGATCTCTGGGCTGGGTGCTGTGAGATGCTTACAGGGGGCTCAGGAGTGCTTGCACTAACCCTTAGCTTTGATGAACTTGGGATTCTTTCCCACCACAGCTCAGCAGCAATGACTACAGCACAACTCTGCCCCTTTCCTTGCAGTCAGAGCCTGCTGCTCACTCTTTTGCCTCCTCGGAAGCTGATGAGCAAGAAGTGTCAGAGGAGAACTTTGAAGAGAGAAAATACCCAGGTGAAGTTACTTTAACCAACTTCAAGCTGAAATTCCTCTCCAAGGACATAAAGAAAGAGCTGCTCACGTAAGTCCTGCCTTCTTGTCTCTTCCTCCAAAATCTATTAATATGTACTTAGCCAGGATGGTTGGAAACAAAATTAGAAAATACATTATAGAAATAAGAACTGTAGCTCCCTTTCCTACTGTGATTGATCTTACTCATCCTCCTACAACTGCTGATCAATGAGGAAAAACATGTTCCTACATTACTTTGCAGTGATGAAGAGAACCTGAGAGCTCCGTGCTCTGGATTCATGGACAGGGTTGTGGGAAACTCCTTTCAGGGCCAGTTTTTCCTGGTATTTTCCTGCAAGAGTGTTTCTGGCACGGTGATGGCCCCTACCCAATGTCCTAATCCCTGTTTTGGGACACTGGCTGATGTTGTGGAGCCAAGAGCACCCAAGGGAACTCACCACCTTCTTGAAGAGGGTGTTGAACACAAGATGTCTCATTGAGAAGGCAGAATTTGTTGGCTTAGAGCAATGGGTCCCAGCACTGTGAAACTGCAGGAACACAAAAATGTGACCTGAGGCTGCAGCAAATTTGCTGTTGTGTTGCATTTTGCACTGGAGAGAGACCTTGACCCAGCTCACATCTGTCTGTCCATCGTGTGGGTGGAAGCACAGACCCAGACCTGCCCTATTGGATGGAGTATGGCTCTGCATCCACACCAATTCCCACAGGAATGGTTAATGTTTGAGGGTTTGAGCCAAACGTGGCAGCTTGGACCTGGCTCTGGTCTAAGAGCACGTCAGGATCAGCCCGGAGGCTGTGATGGGGAGATTTCCCCTCCCAGGCATCCCAGCTGTTCCTGGCTTCTTTCCTGTGCATCTGACCCTCCCACACATCTCACAGGGAGTTGGTGGGCACTGTTTTGCTGATCTCATCCAGCCCACTCGTTATCTGCAGGCAGGCAGGGTGGAGATCTGTGGGGGCAGAGTGGCAGCAGCATTTTCCCTAAATGAACAAAGCTCAGATCAGCTGCCCTACACAAAGCTCTAAAGGATTTTTTAAAAGCCACCAGTGATGTGAACAGCAGTTTCTGAGCTAGAGCCCTCAAGTCCTCCTGTGCTTTAATTTTATTGTGACGGTAGAGAAATTTCCTAAACGGAAACAGCCCTGGAATAAATAAATGGTGTCATGGGCAGCCCTGAGCCTTCCCTCTCAATTTAATATCCTTGTTCCTCTCTGGCCCAGGGGCTGTAATGAATTAGCTGTAGTTAACTCAGGAGCAGACTCGCCTGCTATGTCTGATGCTCTGTGTCTGAGTGCAGTTCTTGTGCCATTTTCAGGCAGGTGCCCCTCACCTGTATCTGCCCATCACCCCCAGGCACAGTCAGAGCTTGCTGTCATTCCCTTTTGGCAGCAAACAGTCCCTTCTTTGCAGCTGTAAGGGCTGGGAGAAAAAAAAATCGTTTTAGAAAGCTGAAATCTGAAGCACCTTATCTGAAATCTGAACAAGATGATTCCTGCAGCCAGAGCTGCAGCATGGCAAGAATGATCCAAACTGGCAGCAGCAGCCAGGGGTGGCCACGTCTGTCAGGCTGTGCCACCCATCAGGCTGTGTTAGTCCCCTACTGCCACCAAGCCCTCCCATTAACTAAGGGTTTTAAACACTTTCTTTGTCTTTGCCACAATTTTTTCTCAATTTTTTTTTTAATTTTGTCTTTAGGATCCCTATGATCTTTTAGAAGGAAAAAGGGAGGAAGGGGAGCGAAAAGGGGAACAGCTGGTTTATATCCATGCAAACATAGAAACACACACCAGGATCTGATGGATGGGGCTGGTGTCAGGGTCTGGCAGCAGGGCTGGACTGAGACACCCCAGACAGACCCTGAGGGGGCTCTGCTGGCTCTGCCCACCCCTGGATCCTGGGGAATCCATTCCTTTCCCACACTTATGCTCTTTGTTGTTGTTGTTGCCCAGTTGCCCAACCCCAGGCTGTGATGGCAGTGGACACATAACGGGGAACTATGCCTCTCACCGCAGGTGGGTCGACATTTTCTGCGTGGTTTGAACTTTAAAAACAACTTTTATTTTCTTTTGGTATAGTTTGTGAACATGTGGATAGTTTGGTTCTGTTTCCTCCCCCCTTCTTTTGCCCCCCTCCCTCCCCATGCCCCAGCCCTTTTTCTTTTTCCTTTTTCTTTTTCTTTTTTTTTTCTTTTTTTTTTTTTTTTTTTTGCTTATCCAGATATTCCATCTCTTCTCTTTCAGCCTTTCTGGTTGTCCTCTTGCTGACAAGAGCCTCAGAAACCTCATGGCTGCCCACTCTGCTGACCTCAAGTATGTTTGCGCTCAACTTGGAACTCCTTTTTTTTTTCTTTATTTCCACCCTTTTTTTTCTCTCTTCTCCCTTCCTGCCCCCACACCTCTTGCTCTGTTTTTGCTTTTCCATCCCCTCCCTTCTCCTTTCAAAGAGCTGATCTAAACCTGCCTGCAAGGAGCTCTGGTGGAGTCCAGCTTCCAGCTGCTGCGTTGAAGAGGCAATGGAGTGGAGGAAGGATAATTTTGGGGAGGGGACTGATGGCAATGATTGGAAATAACCTGGATGCCTGGCAGGTTTCCTCTGGGCATCGTACACATGTTATTTTCTTTTTCACTTGGCATCTTTTCCCAAGCTCTTGTTGCCTAGTTTGGGCCATAACCCTTTTCATATAACATTTTTGTCCATCTCAAATGATCCAGAGCCTGGTTTTATTTTTGGGTAGAGACTCAGCTGGGAGCTCACTGCCAGCACACAGCAAAGCCAACCCTTTTGGAGAACCTGGGGTGCTATTTTTAGGCTACTTTTTAGGGGCTGTTTGGGATGTCATGAGAGAGGTTCCTCTTCATTTCCATGATGTGTGAGGGAATGAAAGAAGGCGTGAGCAAATGCTTGGTGAGGCCGGATCCTGAGCCAGTGGTCAAGGGCTCAGAGAAATCCAAACTTCCCCACTCCCATTGCTGTTTCTGAAGGGAAGAACCTGATTTTGACATTTTCATTCAGGTATCTTCCTCTGAATCCCATATTCAGCTTTGCTGTCTTCTCCAAACCCCTCCTTTTCAGTAGGAGCTTATTCTTCACAGGTGGGTTTCCCAAATGCTCTCTTAGGTTGCCTTCCCTAAAGAAAAGTGAAATTGTATTTAGTTGGGAACACTGGGGAGACCCCAACCCTCTCCACCCCATCTGCATCTCTGGTGTAAAGTCCATGGAGAATTTTTTTGCATCATCTCTTTCATGGGCCCAGCTTATCCCTGCAGGCTGAGTCTCCTCTGAGTTCCCAGCCTTGCTGAATCCAGTTTTTGGACCATTTAGACTCTGAGCTAACTGAGGAGCCTCCACTGAGAGTGAAGCCTCATGGAGGGCTTTACATTGCACAGGGTCATCATGAAAAACCCCAAAAGTGCTGTGCCCTGTGTGCCATCAGGGGTTTCTGGAGGTGAGCCAGTGGCAGCCCCCCGGTCACTGAGGCCATTAGAAAAGTCCCAAATCCCTCTGTGGTGGCTCCTGGACCTCTCCGTGCCCCACCACCAGTGTGGGGCTGGTGCCAGGAAAGGTGTTAGTTAACCACCTGCTCCTTATCACAGAGGTGGACAAGGTGGCAGGATTAGCTGATATTAATAGAATTTGCTGGTGGATGGCAAGGACTGCTGTGATTAGTGCTAAGTACACTTAATCACACACTATAGACCATACACATTCTGGAAGGAGCTCTTCAAAGAGCTCTGCTGAGCTGGTGTTTCTCCAACAGTTTGAGAGAACAGCCAAGTGATCAGACAATTCGTGTTCAAGATATTAAAAGCTCTCAGGAGCAGTGGCCGTTCCCAGGAAGGGCCAGACAAAAAGCAAACAGGCTCATCCCTGAGACTGAGCATCATGTCCAGCCTTGCTGTGTTCCCCTCTGGCACCCAATGTCAGCGCTTTTAATCAAAATACTGTGTAAAAAAGGAGACTTCTGCCCCCCCAAAATAGCTTGTTAATATTATTTCCTCAAATTCCACTTTTTTTTCTATGTCCTGGTGAGGATGGGAGCAGAGGAGGGAGGAAGGGATTTTGAGATATCATAGATTGCACAGTCACAGCTTCTCAGAACTCCAGATAAGACCATGTCAGTGTTTCTATTATAAATTCTATTTTAGGGGTTAATATCCCTGATATAAAAAAAAAAAATAGCTCCAGGCTGGAACATGCAATAAAAGGTCTCTGTTGGTATGATTTGTCTCCAGATAATTAAAAATAAAAATCAAATTACTTCTCTCTCCTCTTTAAAAATCCTGAAAGGAAGAAAGAGTTCAGTGTTAGTGTTTTCATAATTTCCTCCCACCCTGAAGCTAAAACAACAGAGAAATAGTTTTGCTTTCTACTGTAAGAGTGTAGAGCTGGGAAATATCCCAGTCATCTCCCAAAACTGCAATTTCTAAACGAGTTGAAGCATTTGCACCCTCATTGAGGTCCTGCTGGATGTGTCCTGCCCTTACTGCACCAGACCCACGTGCACTTATGTTTTCCTGGCTCTGAGCCTCCCTGTTACCCCTCTAGGACCAGGCCATGCCCCTGCTCTCTTACCCCAGGTGAGGTGCCAATTTTTTTTTGCCAATGCAGATTATTCAGTGACCTGCAAATGCCAAAGTCTCCCTCAGAGCTGCTGCAAAGAGGAGAATTTTGGTATTTTTCTGAACAAAAAGAGAAGACTTAAAAAAAAAAAAAAGCTGTTTTCCAAGCTGCCAAACTGAAGTCACCTGTGGACACCATTCCTTCAGTGATTCTCAGGGGCAGAGCAGCAGTGCAGAATCACAGAATAGTTTGGGTTGGAAGGTACCTCAAAGGCCAAACCCCCTGCAGTGAGCAGGGGCACCTTCAGCTCCATCAGGCTGCTCAGAGCCCTGTCCAGCTTTAGGGAAAGCATTCTGCCTTTCCCAAGGGCCCTGAGCTCAGGGGCTGCCCGTGCATCACCATCATTCCATGGCCACGTCCTGGAGACACCAACCCCTGCCCTGCTGCAGGTACCCCCCAGCCACACACACCTGGCATTGCTGGCTTCAAAAACAGGGCTGGAGAAAGTGGGGACACCAAAAAACCCCTCCCCCAGGAGAAAGGGTGCTCTGCAAGCTCCTGGATGTGCCCTGAGCTTTGCTCAGAAGGAGCAGTGAGCATCTCCCCCTGGTCCTGCAGCAGCACTGTGCATTTCCTCTGCACACCCCTGTGGTGTTTGTGAGGGTCCCCAGGACGAGGGGAGAGAGGAGAATTTGCCTCCATGTTCTCAGAAGGCTGATCTATTCTTTTATGATATCATATTAAAAAATGGTATACTAAAACTATACTAAAAGAAAGAGAGGAAGGGTACATCAGAAGGCTAACAAGGATGATAAAGAAAAATCTGTGACTCCTCAGAGCCTCCACACAGCTGGGCCACGACTGGTCATTAAATAAAACAATTCACATGCTGGATAAACAGTCTCCAAATCACATTCCAAAGCAGCAAAACAGGGAGAAGCTGAAGCTTCCCAGGAGCAGAAATCCTGGTGAAGGGATTTTTCAGAAAATATCATGATGACACACCCCCTCCCCTGGCTTTAATCACTTGACTCAAAAAAGCCCTGGCTAATTGGCAGGCTGGCCTGCACATCCTCTGCAAACACTCCTCGCCTCGCTCCCTTGTCCCCATGACAACTTTTATGTCACCTACTGGGAGCAGATCTGTGTGCTCCTTTCCATCTCTCACCGTTAATGATGCGCTGCTGAGTTTGGGCCATTCCCTGCGTGCTCGCAGCCCCGCCAGCCTTTGTGGGGCTTTGGGTGATCATAGCAGTGACCTCCAGCCTTTGTGGGGCTTTGGGTGATCACAGCAGTGACCTCCAGCCTTTGGGTGATCACAGCAGTGACCTCCAGCCTTTGTGGGGCTTTGGGTGATCACAGCAGTGACCTCCAGCCTTTGTGGGGCTTTGGGTGATCACAGCAGTGACCTCCAGCCTTTGTGGGGCTTTGGGTGATCACAGCAGTGACCTCCAGCCTTTGGGTGATCATAGCAGTGACCTCCAGCCTTTGTGGGGCTTTGGGTGATCATAGCAATGACCTCCAGCCTTTGTGGGGCTTTGGGTGATCACAGCAGTGACCTCCAGCCTTTGGGTGATCACAGCAGTGACCTCCAGCCTTTGGATGATCACAGCAGTGATCTCCAGCCTTTGGGTGATCACAGCAGTGACCTCCAGCCTTTGCTGGAGAGCTCTGGATGCTCACCTGGAAACTCATGGCTGGGAGGCACCTACTCAAGAATCTGTAGGAAAAAAGCCTCTTTTGGCTCAAATACACTGTGTTGCAGGGCTGTGCCATTAACCAGTGACACAGAGGAGGGAAGGGCAGGCAGCAGATTGGTGATGTGCCTGTTTTGTAAGGCAGTGACTGAGGGGCAGAGTCTGCACCAAAAGGCACTGTCTGTGGTGACCTGGGGGTCCCCAGCCTAAGGACCCTCACAGGCTGTCCCCTGCTGACTCCCTGTCCCCTGCCCATGGTGGTGTGGAAGGAGGGGTCCCAGGGCTAACCTAACCTTTTTCCTCCTGTTTCTCCATCATTTGCCATCAGAAGCGTTGGCCAGTTTTGCACTCTGCAGACCCTCAGCCATGGGCTGCCCACTTGCCCTCACTGAGATAATGCTCCCCAAGTCACCCAGAACTGAGCCAAAGCCTCCTGTTGGTGGTGGCCGTGGTGGCCCTGCTGTCCAGAGCTGTCAGCTGTTTTTCTGGTTCCTGGTCTCTGCTTGGGTCCATCCTGCTGGCCCTGGATGGCCCTTGCTGTCTCCTTATGCCTTCCTAAAGATGACAATCCTTGTCCTGGAGGGGGATTTTAACTTATTATCAGCTCCTGAGCTGTCCCCTTCACAAGGGTGGGGACAGAGGCTGGGGCCTGTGTCCTCTCATGGGAGAGCAGCTCCTCCCTGTGCTCCCAACACCCCAAGGTACTCCTCTCCAATGTCACATCATGCAGTGGTGCACTGACTTCAGTACCACGGATATTACAGACCAAATCTTGTCCTTACAGAGGGGGAAGGGGCAGGAAGGAAAAACCTGCTCATGCTGACAGTGCCCAGATTTCTCTTTGAGAAGAGCTGTCAAAAGTGTTGATCCCCTGCTCACATCCCCAGGCTAATCTGAGCCTCCCTTGCCTCTGCAGGTGCCCTACTCCTGGTTGTGATGGCTCTGGTCACATAACAGGAAATTATGCATCACATAGAAGGTAAGATCTCCCTTAAATTATTTTCTCTCTAGTCTCTTTCTGTGTTGCTTTTTCTTTTTCTTTTTTTTTTTTCCTGCAGTGGGCAGAGTTGTAAAGTTCTGAATAAAACATTAATGTTACTGACAACTGAAGCCTATTTTCATCTCTTTAATCTGACTTCTTTTTTTTTTTTTTCTGATGTTTTCAGAATCTGATTAGAAGCTCCTTTCAACAGAATAAAAGACAAAGGGTCAGATTTTAGCTGATGCAATGTTCCTGTTAATATTGCTACCTATTTATGACTTCTATTATCACTTTAGAACATTAATAGCACAGATCTGAGCCTTCTGTTTCAACAATTCCATTAAACATTGCAGGCTGTTAGCAGATATCTTCTTATCTAGACACCATTAATTACTGTCCATCTCCCTCAATTTTTTGCTATTTTTTTTCCTTCTGACTTCTCCTCGTGATGTGAAGCTGCAAAACGAGAGAGATCAAAAACACTGTGCCAAATGCAAGGGAAAGATGACTGAAGCGGGGGAATAGCAAATGCAGAGATTCTGCCAGTGAGACAGGCCTTTCTTCTCTTTTTAACCACAGTCTGTCAGGCTGCCCTCGTGCCAAGAAAAGTGGGATCAAGATCACCCCGACAAAGGATGATAAAGAGGACCCAGAGCTGATGAAGTAAGTCTGGGAACAGCTCCTGAGCAGAGCTTGTCACTCCCTCCACTTCACCTCACACAGATTTACCTGGGGGATCACTCAGCATCCATCCCACATCCCCCCTTGCTCGTGCTGCTCTGAGCATCCTTTGCTGTGTTTTGGTGTTGCAGTTTTGGTATTTGATGGAAAAACTGGCTGGTGGGGAGGTAATGGTGTAGTTTTCTTGCAGATGTGAAAGGTGGGTTGGTATAGCACAAACAGTTTCTCTGCTAGCTGAGCTTTATGTGATTTCTGGAAAACCACAGCAGTGTTGTAAATGAGAGTAAAACCCCACAGTCAAGTCAAACATTGCAGGTTTTTGGGAAGCAATGGATAGGCAAGGGCTGATGGAGTAGAAACTACCCAGCACTGAGTTGGGTCAGGATCTGGTAACCCTGAATAAACAGTGTTTTGTGGAGTCTTTGCCAGGGCAGAATATTCTAAGTGAACTGGAAAAAATCCTCTCTCTGCTGCCTCAGGCTGAAGTTTTCAAACATCCCAGGGGGTTTATTCCTGTGGGGAATAGAGATTTGAAATTGCTTAGTCCACCTCAGGAGTTTTCATGAGCTGTGAAATCCATTTGTCCTGACTTTCAGCAAGTCTGAACATCACAGGCTCAGCATGTGGGGTCTGGGATCTGTATCTCCTCACACAGCTACAGGACATGAAAGGCAGCACTGACTCCAGGATCCTATTTTTTCTTATATTATTTGTTACCTCACAGCATCTCCAGCCTTTCTGAAGCCTGTACACTCACCCAGCAAGTGCAGGTGGAAGGGGGCAAAAAGAAACATGGAAAAAATTATCAACCACCTCCAAGGGTTTCTGGTTGCCCATGAGTGCTGGCATATCTGTCCAAACCCCTTTGGCCCAGCAGACTGTCTCCAAATGGAGCTTTTTAAAGAATATTTCACTCCCAGGGCAGGTCTTGCCCTCCAGAGGAGCAGAGGTGGATATGTCCATGTGCCCAGGTTTTGGCCTGGAGCAGAGGCTGAGCCAAAGCAGGACCCAGTGGGGGTGGAAGAACCCTGCAGGGGCTGTGGGAAGCTGGGATGTGCCTGCTGGGGGGGAAGGACCTTTCAGAAAAAGATGATATTTGAGCCATCTGCTCTGTTCTTCCTCCTCAGTCTACAGGAAGGAAAGCCTCTCAGTTAAATGAGCTGTGTGATAATTAGCAGGAGTTTGCAGAGTTTATTAAAAATTAAGCAACCTACTCAAGAATCTGCAGGAAAAAAGCCTCTTCTTGGCTCAAATACACTGAATTGCTGGTGGTGTTGCAGGGCTGTGCCATTAACCAGTGACACAGAGAAAGAAAGGGCAGGCAGCAAATTGGTGATGTGCAACTGCTGGCTGTACCTTTGCTCTCACCATGGCTGGAGACCTCAGCTGGGAGGTCACCCCTCCCCATGGTTTCTCCAGGGACACGTGCCCTGTGGGGCTGGGAAAGCTGTGGTTTTGCTCATTTGTTCCTTCCTCATTCAGGGCAGGACAGAGCAGTTTCCCCAGTGCGGTTTCTCTTCCCAGTGCAAGGAGAAAGGAGTTTTTAGGTGGCTGTTTTGTTGTGGGGAACATGGGGTGGGCTGGCAGGACGCCCACAGCAGAGTGAGGGTCCCCACCAGCATCCTCACCAGGGGATGAGTTTCTCCTAGTCCACCCTAAAGATGCAAACTGGGAAGATAAAATTGCAAGAAATCATGTAATTGTTTGGGTTGGAAGGGATCTTAAACCTCATTACAACCCTCTGCCATGGGGTGGGACACCTTCCACTGGACCAGATTTCTCCAAGACCCATCCAGTCTGGCCTTGGACAATTCCAGGAGTGGGGCATCCATAGATTCTTTAGGTTCCAGGCTCCAAATGGGGCTGGATTTTCTGACTCCTGGAAAGATGGTGCTATCCCCCTCCAGACAGGTCTTGGTGGAACCATGGATATGGGTGCAGGAAATGTGAGCGTGTCTGCAGCAGCAGCAGGAGGAGGAGGCATTCCCCAACACCCCACGGCCCAGACAGCAACCCCCCCTCCTCCAGTACAGCCAGGAGGAGCAGAAGCTCCTCTGAGATGTGCAAAACAACGTGGCACAACAATCCCTGGCTGGTGCCTGCCCCCAGCCCGTGGCAGTGTTTGTCCCACCACCCACGGCAAGGTGTGCCTGCTGTGGGTTTATCTTAAGGAGCTTTGGCTCTAAATCCTTCCTCTGTCTGCACTGAACTCCACTTGGAACCCGGCCGAGTTTTGCACATCATCACCGAGGAGAAAGTCATTTAGTCCCTGTTGTTTGTGCTGTTCATCCTTCAAGTAATTTGCTGCAGATGTGATTGAACAGATCACCTCAACCTTCAGCCCAGCCCATACAGCGGAAGCATCCACAGGTGTCTAATTGATCAAACGCTACTGGTGCTCCCATTAAATAATAATAATGTTAAAAAAAAATTTAAAATATGTCCAAGACAGCTGTTTTGCACAATAAGGCTCTGGTTTATTTTTTAACAATGAAAATGTAATAAAAGTTAAATTAACGGTGTAAAATATGTAATGGTTGGGCTGTAACGGCTGCATACGAAATGCTGGGGTTTGTCTCTTTCTCTCTTGCTCTTCCCCCCTCTCCCCCTTCTCCTTTTCCTCCTGAGGATTCAGTAATTTGCTCGTGATCATATAAAAGCAATGATGTTATGAATTTACTGAGGATCCTGCTGGCAGGGATATTATAAGTGAATTGTGCTGCATTTGCAGCTGATTAAAATCGAGATCAGCATTTTTCAAATTATCTTGGGAAAAGGCTGGGTGTAGGGCCCCCCCTTTTGCTGTCATCTCCCTTTTGTGTGGAATGTAAACAATCAGGGCAATAATTTCTGCGGTGAAACGCAGCTTGTGATTTTCAGGAGCAGCTCCGTGAATGCTTTTGCTGGAGAGCCTCAAAGTCCCTAATTGCTTCCAAACTAAGGACATGGGGGCTATTTTTGTCATTTCTTACCTCCTTCCACCTCCTCTATTTTTGAGTAACCTCCCTTGAGTAATAAACTTTTAACCGTATTTATAATTGACAAGCATTTCTAAAACAAATGCAAACCACAGCAGAAACCCTGATAGATACACTGGGCTTGTAGGATGGCAGGATTTAGGGAGAATGCCATTAGGTGGGGAGGGAAGAAAGAGGTGCCTTTTAGAGAGCCACTTGTGTGCTTGGCAGTAGCACAAGTTGTGTTGGTGCTTTCACAAGGCTTCTCACAGCTCCTGTGTGTTTCAACTGGCCATAAAGAGGGAGAAGTCTGGTAAGGGCAGGGCTCATATGCTGCCTTGATGATAATTCCCACTTTATCCCCTTGAGAGCGTGGGTTGATCTCCCCAGAGAGGCAGGATGTGAACCAGGAGGAGGAGGAGGAGGAGGAGGAGGCGAGCGAGGCCATGCCGTGGCTGCAGGGTGAGGAGTGGTTCAGTGATTTGTCCTGTCTGATGGGCTGCAGGCTCAGAAACCCCTCAGATGCGCTCCTGGCAGGAACTGGGCTGCAGCTCTTTGTGCTGCACAGCCTGAACAGCTCCTGGCTCGGGGACTGGCTCCTGGGGAGGGCTGTGTGCCCAAGGGCACAGACAGGGCTCCTGTGCTGTTGGGGCAGGGTGATAAGAGATGAGCCTGGGTTCATCAGCAGTGACACAGGGCAGAGCCAGCAGTACGTGTGGGATGGCTCAGTGTGATGTCAGCCTTGGGGTACATCAGGAGGGACACAGGGCAGAGCCAGCAGTACGTGTGGGATGGCTCAGTGTGATGTCAGGCTTGGGGTACATCAGGAGGGACACAGGGCAGAGCCAGCAGTACGTGTGGGATGGTCCAGTGTGATGTCAGGCTTGGGGTACATCAGGAGGGACACAGGGCAGAGCCAGCAGTACCTGTGTGATGGCTCAGTGTGATGTCAGGCTTGGGGTACATCAGGAGGGACACAGGGCAGAGCCAGCAGTACGTGTGGGATGGCTCAGTGTGATGTCAGCCTTGGGGTACATCAGGAGGGACACAGGGCAGAGCCAGCAGTACGTGTGGGATGGTCCAGTGTGATGTCAGCCTTGGGGTACATCAGGATCCCATGTCAGGCAAAACCTGCCCTTTTTGTCCCCAGCGAGGCACCAAACACCTGGTTTCTGACACCTCTGGGACCTACTTTTGCTGCACATGACGTGACATCCACAGACTTCCCTCCTGCAGAATTCTCCTTGATTCTCTTTGGCTCCTTTGAAGGAGCACTCGTCGCTCTTAATTTCCCATCTGCTATTTCCATCAACCAAATATCTCCCCTATAAACTCCAGATGAGACCCAAATACAAACGCTCTCTTCCCAGGCTTCCTCGTTGCTGCTCATCAATAACTTCCTCCCTTTCTTTATTCCTTCCTTCTGTTCCTTGCCCTTGATGTGACTTTGGGTGATTGCCGGTGCCCAGGTGTCCCGTTCCGGGCTGTGTCGGGCTGGGACACATCAGCGGCAAGTACGCGTCGCACCGGAGCGCCTCCGGCTGCCCGCTGGCCGCCCGCAGGCAGAAGGAGGGATCGCTCAATGGCTCCTCCTTCTCCTGGAAGTCCTTGAAGAACGAAGGCCCAACCTGCCCCACCCCAGGCTGTGACGGTTCTGGCCACGCCAACGGGAGCTTCCTCACTCACAGAAGGTAAATCCTGGGGTTTACGTCAGTGTGAGCGGGATGGTTTTGCTGTGGATAAACCTACCTGCCCCAAGATGCTGCTGGAGCAGCGTGCAGCTCCTCATGCCAGGTTCAAGAGCTGGTGATTTTGATGCTGAGTTGAGTCAGGTTGAAGTTTACTGAATGGAGAAAATGTCTGGTTGTTTTAGTATTCACAGAATCAGAGAATGGTTTGGGTTGTAAGGGACCTTAGAGATCATCTCATTCCAACCCCCTGCCACAGGCAGGGACACCTTCCACTAGACCAGGTTGCTCCAAGCCCTGTCCAACATGGCATTGGATACTTCCAGCAATCTTCCACAGCTCCTCTGGGCAGCTCTGGCCTCACCACCCTCACAGGAACGAATTTTTTTCCTAACCTCAAATCTAAATCTCTATTTCCATGCTGGAACAGAATTTGAGCACCACAAATAGGAGATTGGTGCCCAAAACAACCAGACTCATCTCACCCTCTTCACCTGGCACACCTCCTCTTTTAGGAAGCAGTGTGTTTTTAATCTTTGCTTAAAGAAAATTGCTCTCACTTTATAAATGGGGCATTTTGTGGCATTATTCATAAAGCAATTTCCTCTGTACCATAAAAAGCTTTTAGAAGAACTGTCTCGCAGCTTGAATTCCACCAAATGGCACATGTTCTTATGTTGGGAACATAAGCACCTATAAATACTGAGAGTTTATGAAACCCATTTTTACTTGTTTTTCAGTTTGTCAGGGTGTCCAAGAGCTACTTTTGCTGGGAAGAAAGGAAAACTCTCAGGGGATGAAATTCTCAATACAAAGTTCAAGACCAGCGACGGTAAGATTTTTTCACTCCTTTGCCTTGCAGGTGTGTCAGGGTGTTGAGCCCATAGATCTTTTTCTTTTTAGACTTGGGAGGTTTAAGCTGAAATCTGGGCAGAGATTTCAAGGACATCATGTACTTTGAAGACCCATTCCTTGTGTTTTTTGGGTGTTTGTGCTGGCATGGTACCAGTCTCACTCATTGAGTCACACATTTTAAGGGAGCAACAATAAAGAAGGCAAAAGAAGTAGCTGAAATTCAATTTTTTTTTCCCATATATTCACTGGCATTTTTACAAATCCCTTGCAGTCACTCAGTGATTTCCACCTATTCAGGGCTTTTAATACTGAGATATTTCTGGATCTGGAATTTTGTTAGCGATGGCACTTTGCATTTCCAGTGCTATTACCGAGCTTTCTGTGGTATTTGACAAGGTTCAAGCATTGAACTTGATAGTTTGGAACCTATAAATACCTGCACTCCTCTAGAAATATTGCTTTATTTTATGGACCTCGTAATTTCTCATCAAGATATGCATTAGTTTTTTAAATGGCATCATTCCAAACTCAGGATCAGAGAGAGTGACCTGACTTTTCAGGACAATCAACCTTGCCAGGTGTGGGGATGTGTTGGACTCCAGCTGCTCTGCTGTCCTTTGCTTTTGTATTTACATATTGACCTGTTCAAGTATCATTGACCTGTGATAATAAAAATATTAATGATAAAAAAATTAGAAAGGAAAAGGCAGGTGAGAGGTACGTCCTGTTTCGAGGCTGTAAAAGCCAAGGTAAGGACGGTGCAGCAGGATGGGCTTAGCAGAAAGCCCAACACTTTTGCTTTTCCCAAGAGCATTTGTTGACTGCCCATGACCTTCCCTCCTGCAGTTCTGGAGAACGATGAGGAGATCAAGCAGCTGAACAAAGAGATCAGTGAGCTGAACGAGTCCAACTCAGAGATGGAAGCAGCCATGGTGAAACTCCAGTCCCAGGTTTGTGTGCTTGGCCATGAATTCAAGCCCAGGGGTGATGGGTGTTGGTGGGTGCATGGTGAGGGTTGGTCACACTACCGTGCTCCTTGCTCAACAGATCTCCACCATGGAGAAGAACCTGAAGAACATTGAGGAGGAAAACAAAATCATAGAGGAGCAAAACGAAGCCCTGTTCCTGGAGCTCTCAGGGTTGAGCCAGGCTCTCATCCAAAGTCTTGCCAACATCCGCCTTCCGCACATGGTAAGAAACTTTGACAGTGCTCAGCCCAATCCAGCATCATCAAGAGAGCTGTGCCAAACCCAATTCATGATAAGGCTTTTTCACAATTAAAGAGTGGGAGAATTTCTTTCCATACACCTATGTGTCCTTTATAAGATCAGTACTTTTCCCTTATCTCTGAAGCTTGCATTGTATCTCCCTTTTGTTGTCATTTTCTGCTGATCTCCCTTTTTATCTATTGTTCTGTCTCATTACATCTGGGAGCACTATCACAAAATGGGAAACTTTATCAAGGGCACCCAGTGCCTTTTAGCCTAAGACAGCACAAGCAGAGATCAGGAGGGATTGGATTTCAACGTCAGAAAGATCTTAGAGCTCCTATTACAATGCAGGTAGTTTCAATTCAGTTTTGAATAGCTGGCAGCTAAAGAATAGCATTCTTAAAGAGAGTGTATTTTGTTTAATTTAACAAGGTCTAACAGCCCACAGCATGTTACCATAGAGTTACTGAGAAATGAAAAGACTGCATTAAAATAGTAAAACCACAAAAGGCTATTAATTACCTTCTCTCTATTCCCAGGAATGTAATTACTGTTGTCAAAACCAGGTGTGTGGAGGTGGGGCTCATGTTGTTGAGGAAGCTGTCCTCTTACAACTCATAAAGACCATTGCAATGATCAGAGGAATGAGCTTTTGATTTATTTTTTCTTCCATCCTTTTTTTTCCTTTTCTTTTTTCTTTTCTTTTCTTTTTTCTTTTCTTTTCTTTTTTTTTTCGGGGGGGAATCCTTTTCATTGGGGTTTGTATTTAAATTCAGGCTGGTTGGAGAGAATCCATCCTCCAGCAGAGCAGTTTTGGATAGTATTCACCCAGCTGCCTAACTGGCAGAAAACCACTCGCTGAGAGCTTTTTTGTAAAGTATTTGACACATAAAGGTCAAATAAACTGTTCAGCAAATATTTTTTCAAGGTTTCAGGCAACTCTAATTAAATGATGCCCATGAGACTTTTATGCTCATTTTATTCCTGTTCTTTTTCTTCCTTCTCCCTCTCTTTTTTCCCCCATTAAGCCCAAGTTAGACGCTTGCAATGCCCCTCAAAAGCAGAAGCTGTACTGCAGCAGAGAGCTGGGCTGGGTAGCTGTGAGCCCAAGGTGACCTGACTTTGCCTTTGGTTCCCTCCGTGATGTTTCAGCAGTCCTGTTGTCCTCCAGCCCTTCATTTCCATGCCTTAATTCAGCCTCCAGCCTGTCAGGCTGCCTGCACACACTTTACCTGATGCTGTTAATAGCTCCACAAGGCCAGTGCATAAAATTAAGGACCTGGTTAAGATCCAGTGGGATTAGGGCAATGATGAGATTCCTATAGACGCAGCACTGCACACAAAAAGGCTTTGATGTGGAGACCTTTGGCTGTCTGTACATACAGAGAAACATGGAATGGTTTTGGTCAGAAGGGACTTTAAAATTCACACTGTTCACGCCCTCTGCCATGGGTAAGGACACCTTCCACTAGACCAGGTTTCTCCAAGCCTGATCTTGAGCACTTTTAGGAATCCCCAACTTCTCTGGGCACTAAAATACGCAGATGGTTTATTGCAAAGACTCTCATCCTCGTCCTGCTCTTTTACTAATGCTTTTATTTGACTTTTTTTTTTTTTTTTTTTGGCTGCAGGATCCAATTAGTGAGCAGAACTTTGATGCCTATGTGAACACGCTGACAGACATGTACACCAACCAGGAGTGCTACCAGAACCCAGAGAACAAGGACCTGCTGGAGAGCATCAAGCAAGCTGTCAAGGGCATCCAGGTGTAGCGCGGCGGGATGGAGAGCAGCAAGCAAACAGACTGTAAGATGGAACTTCCCCTCCAAGTATTCAGGTTTACAAGTTAGAAAACTTGTTTAATGAATGAAAAAAAAAGAAAAAAAAAAAAAGGACCAAAATGTAACCAAGAGGCCATTTCTGAGACATGGAACTGATCAAACTCAATGTTCTCGTTTACTTAACTTTGGACCTTCTTGAGAAAAGTGGGATTTTTTTCCACCTTGACCACGAGGTAGATCAGGATGGAAGGCTAAATTCTCCAGTAGGCTGTGGGGCTTGGTAGCAGGTGAAGAGCAGGCATCTTCCATGAGTTGCTTGCTCTTGCAGAATAGATCCAAGGGTTAAAACGTTACAAGAACAGGGTCTTGTCTGATCCAAGACTAGTGTATGACTGGCTTAAACCCTCATGTTGTCTATGGTCGTATGTCCAGATCACCTACTCACACATGAGTTATGTTCTATGTTGCTACAAGTGCTGGAGCTGCAAGCTACCTGTAAATCTGAACCTGTGCTGGGCCTCCCAACCCCGAAGTGTTCAGATATCCACTGGGCATGGGAACTCTGAAGTATTATAAAGTAGCTTATTTTTATTTTCTGAAAGAAATCTGAAGAGCAGTTCTGGATCTCCAGTGGAAAGCGCAATGGAAAAAAGGTTCTCAGGGAAGCTTTTGGAGTTTGCAACTACAGTATTCCTTTGTCTGTCTTAAATATAAGAGTAGCTATTATGAATAGGCCAATTCCAGATATTTCAAACAGAAGAATTTCTTTAATGTGTCATGGTCCGGTGTATATGATTTTTTGGAAATCTGTTTGATGACAGTTCTGGTTCTTTTCATTATTGTGATCATCCCTACAGTGGCGCAGTACTGCCAGTCCAGAGATCATACATCAATGCCAGAGAACGGTTGAGATTGTGATGAACAAAACAAAACAAATCAAATCCAAAAGAAGCAAAAACCAACAAAAAGAGAGATGTTAATTGATGGCCAGAAAAGTGCTTATGTACTGTGAACCAGGAGTTGATTCCTTACACGTACCCACAGGGCAATGAGGATGGTTTGGTTTGGTGTTCCAGGGATTTGCGCGAAATCACGGCGCTAGCGCCATTCTGCAACAGAGAAAAAGGGGAAAAAAGGAAAAATAAAAGAGGATTCAGGTATTGGGAATTCTTCCAAAGAAGCAGTTGTGAGCAGCTGGGTACATGCAGCCCTCTGTGCACTTAGAGAACAACTCTGTGAATGTCTTTGGGGCGCTGCTCTGCAGCACTGCTCCATGGCCAGGGCCAGCTGTCACCCCACGGGGCTGCTCCCCACCTTGGCTCCCACCTGGAGCTCACTTCCTTCTCCAAACACTTCAGTGGGGCAGAACCCCCCGAGGGGCCCCAGCGTGGGGCATCCCACATCCCACATCCCATATCCTGCATCACTCCCAGCCATGGGGCAGGCAGAGCTGGGGAGGATCTTGCTGACCCTAACAAAAGGCAAGAGTGTGGTGTCATTTCGAGCCAAATCCTGCAGATATTTAGGGTATAATTCCTGATTTGGGGAAGTCAGTGGAAAGTCCCAGTGGCTACCATGGCCACTGGATCTGGGCTGGAAGGCCATGAGTGGCTTGGTTGGAGTTGTTCCCTGTGTTAATTTCCATAGGGCAGTTGGCCTGGGTGGGCTTGCTCCCATACTTGAGTGTTTGCAGGATCAGACTCCACGAGTTCACTTATTTTAGAACCCATTCCAAGTGCAACAATACAAAAAAAAAAAAAAAAAGGGAAAAAAATATAAAATTTGAGGTGTTAAAAACACAACGTTATTAACATGTAAATAGAGTCCAAATTGATTGTGACTGCAATTCAGTTAGTATTTAAAGGTAGAGAAATTGCACTTACTGGAAGAAAGAGAAGGAAAAAAAAGTAGTTAGTTTAATTATGCTGTAAATTATTTAATTTTGGCAAGATGTATGTAATTTATATTTACAACACCTTATGTTAACTTTTTGCTATTTATTTAACTTTTTTATTTATTAATTTTATACTTATTTTAAACTGGACACTGCACCATAGAAATGAAGATAAAAGAAGCAAAAAAAAATTAAAAATTAAAACTTTTGACCATAAAAAAATGATATTCCAAAAAAAAGAAAAAAAAGAAAAAAACCCTATCTACAACTCCTACTTGTAATTTTGATGCAACCAAGTTATTTTTTATATATTTTGTTATTTATTCTTTTAATGATGGGAATTTTTTTAAAGATATTTTATAACTGAGACATTTTGATAATTTTTTGGTTTGTTTTTTTGTGGGGGGCAGGGGCACTGGGGGGAAGAGAGACTTTTTCAGTTTTTCTTTTTTTTTTTCATTCATATTGTTTCAGGCACTGATAACAGGAAATGAAAATTCTGTATTTATTATTTATTTAATATTTAAGTCGGGAAAAAAATGAACTGTGCTCTTGTTGTATATTTATTTTGTTGTTTGTGTGTTGGTTATGTGATGACTGAGTACTTGTTTATGTGAAGGAATACTGTTAATATTTAAATAATAAAGAGTCACATTGAAAGTTATAGCAGGCTACATGTTATTCTGTGAAAACGAATACTGTGATCTACTTTCCTCAGGAAATGTATTTTGCAGACAGAACTTCCTTATGTACTGGCAGGGTTATTTCATAATAAAACCCAGTTCTGTTTGTGACTTTAGTTCCTATGGTCTTTCTTCAAGCTGTTGCCAGTGTGTCCCTACTGGGCTTTGTCCTTGTCCTGCACTGTGGTTTGGGGTTGGGCAGTGTGTCCCTGCTCCCCTGCAGCTCTAGCCAGGGCTATGCACCTCCTGCCTGGCTCTTCCCACCTCCTAAGCTGGGAGATTTCAGGGGAATTTAGGTTTGGTATCTCTGAAGGCTTTGGAGAAGGAGCTGCAACCATCCAGCTGCTTAAAATCCTGCTAGTGCTGTGCTGATTTGGAAGTCCCAGCCAGGAAGGCTGGAGGCAGGATTCCTCTGGGCAGGGCTTGCCCCCTGCACCCCAGGAGTGCAGGAGCACCTCTGCTGTGGAGACAGGCTGGGGGTGTGCAGCCTGGAGAAGAGGAAAGAAGAGCCTCTTCCAGTGTCTGAAGGATGCCCAAGAGAGATAGAGAGGGACTTGGAGCAAGGGTGTGGAGGGACAAGACAAGGGGGATTGGATTCATGCTGCCAGAGGGCAGGCTTAGATGGGCGATTGGGAAGGAATCCTTCCCTGTGAGGGTGCTGAGGCCCTGGCACAGGGTGCCCAGAGAAGCTGTGGCTGTCCCATCTCTGGAAGTGTCCAAGGCCAGGTCGTACGTGGCTTGGAGCAACCTGATCTATGGAAGGTGTCCCTGCCCATAGCAGGGGGTTGGAATGAGATGATCCTTAGGGTCCCTTCCTACCAAACCATTCTAGGATTTCATGATCTTGTGGTTTTGTGCTCCCACAGGTGGTGTGTGAGCAGAGGAGATGCCATTGGAAGCAGTACAGGAGATGCCAGCCCTGGGATGCAACACAGAGATGGACACTTTTCCTTCCCGGATTTCCAAAAAAACTTCAAAACCTGATTTTTGCCAACAAAATTTGCTCAGTTGCATCAACCCAACTGTGATGTTCACTCTTGGAAGAACGGAGCCTTTTCTCTGGTAAGAGTTTATGTTTTGAAGCTGTGGCAATGAAGAGAATTTTTCACTGATCTCTGTGTTGGATAATTTCTAAAGTTGCCAAAATTCAGTTTTGCTCTGCTGTAGCAGAGGTGAAATAATGTAAATCATGTTAAGGCCATTTGGAGCTGCGTGAATTGGATCAAATGGGAATTTCAGGCAGGCTCATCACCGAGAAATTCAATTGTCTGATTAACTGAACCGAACTCCTCTGTCCCTGCACAGAAGCATAAGCATTGCTGGGTTACAGCAGAAGAAGGCGGCCCTACCACATGCATAAAAGTGAAGGGGTAGAGTAAAATGCAGCTGAAAAGGCAAGAACTGTAGTAGAAAAATGTGGAGAAAAGTTTGGGTAGAAGGAAGATTTCCTAAGGCGTTTCCTTGAGTATGTGCATGGCCATGGGTGTTCACTGGAAGTTTTTTCTGCCTTCATTTACTGTCTGCAAGGTGTCCTGATGCAGAACAACCAGCAGAAGCTTAGGACAGGCTTAGGATCCCTTAGCCAGTGGTCCCTGAGAATAAACACCCCCAACAACAAGGACTGCTGGAGACGGAGCCCAGCTTGCCCAGGAGCCCCAAGAACAGAGTCTCTTTGAGGCTTTGCTGAACTTAACTTGAAGTTGATGGGATTTTGTCCTCTTCTCACAGGAGGAAAAGCAGTTGGACTCATGTTCACCTCACCGGCTGGCACGCTGTTTTCCTGAAGGGCACATAATTGTTTTATGGGGGTTTCGCTCGACTTTGCAGCGCTGAGCAGTTCCTTGTGCCAATATTTGATTATGATGATCGAGCTAATAGACGTGCTTGCCTGTCCTTCCTTAACGAATTGGCTGAGCTGGATAATAGAGCGCTCAGATTTGTGCTAAATTGCAGCTCGGGGAGCCATCACTGGGAGATGTTATCTTCTCAGAACTGGCGTCCTTTATCACAGGGAAGGGAATTGAATTGGTTTAAGATGGTACACTGTCAGTTTATAGGTGTGCTTAGGAGAGCTCTTAAGCCTCTTCCAACAGGGCGTAGGGTGAGAGAGGAATGTCAGAGCAGAGTGGGCTTTTGGCTTCAAGGATGCCAGGGAAAAGATACTCGTCAGCATATGGTTGTCTCTAAACACATCGATAAACCATTGACCAATGAGAGTCATTTGGCCTTACTCATGCTGCTGTTAATTGTTAAAAGCTGCTAATGACCCATTCCTCCAGTGGTACCTTCCACTTGTCAGCATTGACCTGATCTCTCCCAGAGAGGCGTTCCAGCCATGGCTTTCAGCTGTAAGCAGAAAGGGGGGGTTCTTTCCCAGCCTCGTTCATTTTTCTGATTTTTGTTCCCCTTGCCCTACAGCTTCTCTGAGTGAACGCTTGAATCCTGCTCCCACAACCAAAGGGTCCTGAAAAACACACAGCTGGGTGGTCAGGAAGGGGTTGCCTCATTCCCATCAGGCTACTGGGGAGAGAAAGCAACTTTGCTCTTCAGAGATGCCATTTAGCATCAAGTTCATCCCTCCTGGGCCTCAGGAAGATGATGTGAGACTGGGGAGCAGTGGATGGGCTGGAGATGACACTGCAGCCAATAGAGCAGCCCTGAGCAAGAAATTGCACCAGCACAGCTTGGTTG